TAAAACCTAAGCCCTAAGGCCCTAAACCCTTAAAGCCACGAATGCCCAGGACCTGCCCTTCCGGGTGGCCGGAAGACTGCAGCGCCCAGGAGGTTCGAACACCCCCGCGTCCCCCGGGCTCAGCACGGCTTGCAGTCACCTGGTTGGGCGTCCTAGTAGTAGAGGGGTAGTATAGTCCCTATAGAATCCCTATATTTAACCAAAAAGGTTAACCTTTAGTTCCCCATGATACCCGACAAGTAAGGGCGTTAATGTATGGGCCTTAACAATTACATAGGGTTCTGTTGATTCTTGCTTCTACCGTATACCCCAAACCCTATTCTGACTATACCCACAAAGCGCAATTCTGATTATTAAGGCCCCTATTTTCGGTTTTTTCAGAGACGTCACTGCTTACGGAGTATGGGGCTTTAGGGTTAGGGGTTTAGGATACGGAGATTCAAAAATTCAGGTGGTTTATCTAACCATTGATATTGGAGGAGCCAACGAGCCAGGGATGATGATAATCCCTATTGAATAAGGAGCTAAAGAGCCAACAAAACCCCACAACCACTGGTTAGTTATGGCTTTATGAACTTTCGGGGGTCTTGGGGTTGAGGGCTTGGGAGCTGCCAAACATTAGGGGTACCTGATCTGGGGGTCCTTGTAATAAGGATCCTTTAGGTACGGCCCCCATACAGTAATAGTCTATAATAGGGCTACTATTAAGGTCCTAATATATCTATATTATGACTATTATTCAACTATTACTGAGTGGGGGTCCTTATAATCAGGATCCTACTATTTATAAGGTACTATATGCCGGTCCCCAATATCGGAAGCTCCCGCCTTTGGATTCGGGGATTGTGCGGCTTTCAGGTGTTTGGATCTTTCAGGGACTTCAACATCCCCGAATTAAGGAATATATACATGAAGTCATATTATGAATCCCACTTTAACTTAAGAACTTATAAGGTAAATTCCTAAAACTAAGGCAAGGGATAGCTTCTACCGAATCGCAAGACTCCCCCAACACTTAGAGGCCCTAAACAGTACAAACTCCAAAGATGCTGGAAACTGCTGATGGACAAAATCCTGCATGAGCCTAAGGACTCTAAACTATGGGAACTATGGTTTATTCCTTATAAAGGGTCATGCAGGATTTTGTCCATCAGCCGAAGGATAGACACAGATGTAAGCATGTTGAAGAATCTTTAATGATGATGTTGAATATGTAAGCAATCTAGAACCTAATTGAGTTTGACAGTGTATAGTGGTATAAGACATGAAGTAGAAGAAGGAAGTGAGCCAAATGCCAGAGCTGCCAATATCCTGTCCTCAATGAGTAACAAGTGCGTTTTGAAAACCTTGAGGACAAAGCCAGTGACGGCTTGAACTCTGTTTAAGTCTACGAGCCTAGTTAAGTCTGAGTCCTACACTTCCAAGACCTGAATAGTGAGTTCCTTCGCAGCTCGAGCTTTGTCGTTCAAGCATCGCACCTGCTCTCACATCCCTCTTGCACCGCTTCGTGATGAAGCAAGGCTGCAATAGTTCAGTGCAGCTCCTTGCTCAGGTAGCGGCGATAGCTACAGGCTACTGTAGATCATATGGTTTGTTACGGTTTGTTCTATTTGGGCAAGCTGTTGTTCTTAGCATTCCCCGCTTCCGCTTCCAGTTTGAAGCAGATTGTCATGGCTGTTCCTGTGCCTGCTGTAGCTTCGAGGAAGAAGTCCCTTGCAATCTTTTGTACTGAACAGCATCGAGCAGTCTGCACATTCTGCAAGAGCCATTGCTTTGGCATATTTGTGGCGAGCAGGGCTTGAACACTTTCAAGTTGAATACAAGGACGCGGTGGAAGTGCTATGGTCACTGTTGTTGGTTCTGTCATGTGCGTTCGCATGTATACACGTACGTGCATATCTGTATTTTTGCATACCTGTACAAGCAGGTACAGATGCACATACACGTATGTGTGCATGTGCTGCGTATGCAGACATAAAAGTATATGCACACATCAAAAGAGAAAGAGGGACCGAGAGAGAAAGAGAGACAGAGGCAGAGAGAGACAGAGAGAGAGAGAGAGAGACAGGGAGAGAACGCGAGATAGAGAGAGAGAGAGAGGGAGAGAGAAGAGAGAGAGAGGAGAGACAGAGAGCGAGAGAGAGAGAGAGAGAGAACGGAGAGAGACAGAGAGTGAGCAAATCCGAATATGCGCATAAGGAAGTGTTAGTTGTACAAACGGTTTTGCATATGTGCCTGCACCTTTTTTCACTAGTGACCTGAGAGTGCAGCCTACCCGAACTGAAAGGACCCGTGCCTGCAAACACGATTATTTATCAACTGAACAAAATCAAAGAGCCACAGACTCTTCAAGTAGAAACCCTCCTGACGAAGCCGACTGGGGGTCCAGTGGCACTGTCGGAACTTGCATATTTGTTGAAGGGGACCCGTCCCGTATACCCCGACAGCCAGACGCTAGACCCTGATCCAAAGAGTTCAACTTAGGACATCGCCCCCATCGACGGGCTCAGCGCTGGGTGACAGCATCTGAGCAGCTTTAAGAAATCCAGCTCAGAGTCTATTGAACTGGACGCTAGGATTCGGTTCTGCAGACAGCGAAGCATCACGGATTTGGGCTAATTTGCCCTCGTCCCGCTTTCTCCCTGGCTGCTCCCAGCCGAGAGTTGGAAATACCACCAGGTCGTGAATTTCGGACCTGGTGCTCCACCCCTGTTCTAACCTAGGTAGGCCTTTGGGACATTTTATATTTTCCCTTAATGGGCTTAATAGGACCCTATTTACGAATATTTTTCAGAGGCTTCTAAGGGCCAACCTAGTAACCTAACGGTCCCTTTCGAGGATGTTGTATCTAGGAACCGCGCAGTATATGTACTCGTACAGTGCCGCTCTTTGACTTGATCTGTTGGCCGAGAAGTTACGAGCGCACCAATAGAAGGCACAGCTGCAAGTGTGCAGTAAACTCAGATTGAAAGCGAGTCTCAAGAACCTGTAGAGTGCCGAAGCTTTCACATTATTGCGACGCATGTTCCGAATAGGTCGCATTGTGTGTCAAGCTGTTACTTTCGTTTGATGCGTCTTCCGAACAGGTAGCTTCTTGTGTGAAGCTTTTGCTTTCCAGTGACGCACCGTCCGAACACGTAGCACTCTGATGCGACAGAGCTCGGCTAAATCTTAGAAAGACTGACATGCCGACCCGGGATTTCGGTTTCAAACTTCGAGTCCCCATATCCACATGTCACTATATCATACTCTATAGTATACTTATGTCTGGATTCGGCCTCTGCTTGTCGGTAAGAATTAGAACAAAAAAATAGATTCAGGCCCGGAGTTGCTGCAGCCACTTTCGACCGCTTTCAACAACATTCGGCAGGCGATCTTCAAGGAGCGAAGCTTTCTGTGCACGGTGCACCTTAGGGACCCTTCATGGGGACCCCTACCCTATCATGGGCTATATAATGGGTATAGAATAGCTATTGCTCCTTTTCGATGACGCTGCATCGTGTCCTGGAGGTCATTTCCATGGACACCTAGGCACATACCTGAAATCTGCATCCTTTACATGCTAAGGATCGCAGTGCCTAACCTAGAATCTCCACAGACGCTTGATCCCTACATCCAAACCTGTAAACCCTTTGACCCGTTGGTGCCAAACGTAACTTCAGAAACCCTCGTCCACCGCTACAAGCCTTGGGCTGTCTCCTCGTGTTTCTCCAGAGTCCCACCATTGTACGATCCGTTCGAAAATAAAGAAAGCCTCGCAACCCGGAGGAGCTTGCGCAAGATCCGGCCCCCGACGTCACCCAACAGCAGCTCAAGGCGACGACGCCACTCGAATGCGAAGTGCATGACGTACATGCGACGAAGTCTTTCACTTGCTACTACTACTACTACTACTACTACTACTACTACTACTACTACTGCTACTACTGCTACTAGTACTCTATTTATTGCTTGAGGGCCTCAGGGCTGCATGGGGCTTTGCAGCTTGGGTTTTTCCTTTTTCCGTGTGCTTCTGCAGGAGTTGCGCATGGATTCGAACAATTATACTGGGTGTTGTTGTGGATGTTTTTGGAGGTTAGGAGTCGCCGCCTTCCGCAAGTCAGGAGCAATGTCTCAGTGCGCATCTTGAGGTTGAATCCCGTCCTTGCATTCGTCCTACTCCACAACACATAAAACACATAACAGCTGGCTTGGAGTTCAGGTGCTGGGTTGCTTGAAAGGGAGTTGCATTCAGCCGCAAATCTGCCGGTTTGTCGCTTTCCCCCACACACACAAACGCAATGCTGACCTGCCGGAAAGAGGCGTGCGTGCTTCTCACTTCTTCCGTAAGGCCGCTAGAAGAATGAATCCGGCAAGCATAATCAATCTCGTGGGCCAAGTCCTGCTCCAAAGATATGCTCCACCCTGGTGGATCAAGGACCTGGTTGAAGTCCATTGTCAAGGCAATGAACGACTACAATCAGAGTTTCTCTCGCCTTCGGCTGACAAGCTTGGGCGATCAAGAGCTTCATCGAAACCAGGAGTTCGGGACCCCCAAATAGGGATTTCCATACCTTATTGGGCTTCATTATAAGGGGGTTTATATGGGACATCCCTATACTAATTTTTGCTAATGTGCTTCTTTTTGGGCCCTGAGGAGATTGCCCGAGAGTCTTCCCGCCAGCTGACCGTGCTGCTGGCCGAAGGCACGAAACAGTTCGACAAGAAGCAACTGCAGCTCGTGACTGGGTTCTTTTTAAGGAATGTAATCTAAAAAGCTGCCATAGCAAGATAATAGGAATCTATAGTAAATAACATGGTGTCCTTGTTATGGTAACCTAAATTTGCTAACTCCCATGACGAGAACCCAGGTGAAGGTCGGCAAAGATGGGCCGGGCCAGGAGTTTCGGAACAACTTGGCAGCCTTCAGCAAGTTCCTATCCCAGTTTGGAGAGACGAAGTGGCTGGATGGATTGGTGGCCCCAGAATACGCAGAGCAAAAAGAGCTGGCTGTGAAGCTGATGGACGATCTGCAGAAGCCGAAGAACGTTTGTCCGTGGTGCCAGGTGAGCTATTTCGGGACATACTGCACAAGATGCTCGAGGTGCTCTTGTGGCTACTACTCCTACCAAGGCGTTCGCTGTGGCCATTTCGGTCACGGGTGCCAGCGGTGCGGCGCAACTACGTTTCAGCAGGGCACCTTTTGCGAAAGCTGTGGATACTGCGTACACGGTCGTCAGCAGTCAACACGTAAACCGAAAGACAAACTGGGATGGGGCTGCGACTGCCAGACAAGCAAGAAGGCTAAGACCTGCAAGGAGACCCTGGCCTCCGATCAGAACAAGCTTGACCCCCAGGCAGGCGATGGGGGGGGCTTGAAACTCTGATGTGTAAGCTTGTTCGGATACAGAAAACCTGCAAAAAGACATCGCCTATGGATGTGAATTGGGCTGAAGTTGCTACAGGCAAGGCTTTGCGACTAGCACGCTGGACTCGAATGTCCGCGTTTGTTTAGCATTAAGCCGGGCATTCAGGCACAGGCTAGGATTTCCCAAACCAAGTATTTTGTGACAAAAAAGCGCTAGAAAAGTGGTTCGCAAAATGCGATGGAAATTGGAAATGCGCAAACAATGTGAAACAAATGCAAAAAAAGCATGGCAGGCTTTGATGGTGGCTGCATCCGGAACACGGTAATTGTAAAAAGTGAAGCCCAAAGAGAACACAGAATGAACACAGACGTGGCGCTTTTGTTTTGCTTTTTTGCAATGTTCACAATGTTTTTGTTTTGTTGTTTTTGCTTTGTTGTTGCTTCTTTAGTTTGCATTTGCTTGTCGGGGGCGCATTTTCATATCGCATTTCTGGCGCTTTTGGTTTGCTTTTGGTTCACATTTTAATTAATCCTGGGTTTCATAGGCTGTGCCTGCTGAAGACCGACCTAAGTCTAGCACGCTGATGTCCATAGTTTCGTACCCTCCGGAAGCATTCAAGCGCAAGCAAGCCAGCGGGTGCTCATGGAGTACACGCGCGGCCATCCACAAACAAAGCGCAGGCTTGCAGGCAGGGAAACTCTCAAACCCTCGCTGCTCCTTTGGAGACAGTACACCGGAAGATCATCGAGGTGTTCCGGCTTCCCTGACACAGTGCAGGCAGCAAGCCGGGCACAGCTGACCGAGTTGGCACACATGGCCGACACCCTCGCCAAGCTCTGTCGCAAGGATGCCAAGGCTGCATGAGCCTCCTGCAACAGCAAACCCTCAATGCATGATGCCCAAAGTCAAGTTTGCCATCTTGCCCACACTATACTTGTTGGTTGCGGTGTTAATCCTTTCCCACTACTACAAAACGGAGGGCCACCCCCCAGCAGAAACTCGGAAAGTTTTGTTATTATTAAGCGGTATATGTATACCTCTACTGTCACTTTTGAGGACTCTTGCTTTTGCTCCTGAACAGGCTTTCGCTCATGCTGCCGCTGCATCTCTTGCTCTCGCTCCTGCGCCAGCTCTTGCTCTTGCTGCTTCTGCTCTTCCTCCTGCTTTTGCTCTTACTCCTGCTCTCGCCTTTGCTCTTACTCGAGCTCTTGCTCTTGCCTTTGCTCTTGCTCTTACTGCGGACCCCCTAATGCAATCAGGTTGTAAAAGGCAGGGTGATTGCGGAGGATTCGCACCAATGTGCTCTCGTTATTGAAGGGGTGCTTAATAAAGTGGGGAAGTGATTAATCTCTGAGGTTTGAGGTTTGCCTTCTGATCAGCATCAGAGTTCCAGTGGGTGCGATCTGGCTCTCGAAGTGAAGGATCAGGTCTGGTTATAGACTCTACGCATCTTTGGACACTGAACTCAGCACCATTCTTGCGATACCCCTGAACCCTAAAACCCTGGCCCTAAACCCCAGGAACTACGAATTGTCCCTGCATCCGGGAGGGAGGGCGGTTAGAGTTGGAGCTCGAATGAACTACTTGGAGGTTCATGGGTAGTTATAAGCAGGACCCCTAATTTGGGGCCCTATGCTACCAAGGGTATTTTATAGGAACCCCCCCATTAAGGCATCTACTTTTTGCATCCTTCCGGGGTCTGGGTAGGCAGGCTTCGACCTGCAGTGCAGGCAATGGAGACCGCCGAGAAGGAGTTCCAGAAGAAGATGGTGCTCTTGAAGGCGTGGCCTCTAAGGGTCGCTATAACTTACCTTTGGTTAGTAGGGAATGGAGGAATGGGGTACATTCATAACTACTATTACTACCATTCTTCCATTCCCTACTAGCCAAAGGTAAGCTAAGGGTTGCTATAAGGGCTTCTGAAGGTGTTACTTCTTACTTTAAGGGTTACAACATGGGTTCCTATGAAGGGTTATTATAATAAGTTATAAGGGTTTTGTGTGACATTCCGTTTGCACCGAGGCAGGTGAGTGCTCCGGAGTGGCTCCAACTGCCGAAGCTCCCGATAAAGGAAAGCTATACCTTTGAAGGAAGGAACCCTTAAAGCAAGGAATGACGGACTGGTTCGTGCTACTCTGCAGGGTCTTTTTGCGGAAGACTCTTGGCCAAGTGGTGCTTGACTTTGAACAGAAGGGTTTAGGGTTTTGGATTTTAGGGTTTTGGGTTTCAGGACCTCTGGTCCTGAAGGGTCGACCCTCCAACCCCTAACCCCTAAACCTGTAAATTCCTAAACCCTAAGCCCAAAAATCCGAGAGCCTTGAATTCACCCTCCAACCCCGAACACTTATAAAGACTTGAAGACTGAAAGCCCTCGGTTCCTTGGCACAGGAATTCGCCGAAGCCATCAACGATGTACCGAAGGCGGGCGCTTGACCACCCGCACGGCCACAGGCATGCATCAAGTGCTCAGTTCTTGGCCGAGCTTCGTAAATGGCACTTGGATTTCATCTATCAAGCGCAGACCGATGACTGGAGTAAGAGGGACTCCAAACAGCAGTCCAGCAGCACTCCTTAAGCACGGACGAAAGCTGCACATGGATAAGCCTGAGAGGTCCTACGATGCTTTCTCCTCTTCCGGTGCGGAGCTATCAAGGAGGACCCGACGTCGCTGAAGGAATGGCTGAGCAAGGCCGCAAGAACGCCAAGACAGGCTGCAACATAACATAGAAGGGCATGTGAAACAGGAAGCTTGAGGTCATGCATACATTCTAAACCCTTAGACGACATGTCCACCATCTGCCACATCATGCTTATTGAAGGCAACCCCCACCACACGAGAGATCCTTTAAGATCGTGAGAACTTGAGCACACCCTTGTAAGGGACACCAGTTCAAAATCACTGTTGGAACTATTGTTCTAAGACTTCTCATTGCCGCATGTTTGTGGTTGGGCTTCTTTGTGGTTGCAGCAGAGGGCAACGCCGGCACAACTTCCGAACGGTTTCCCGCGTGCCCCAAAAGGCGGGCGGAAACCGACTCCCAGTGACCTCCAATATCCAGGACATCTCCAACTATAGAAGTCAATTTCAAACTGCACACCCGTTACAGCCAAACTTTCACAACGCGTTCACAATCTACAATCCACACCAGAGCCTTAGCATCCGCGGTCTTACGCGCGAGCGCACATCATACGTGTTGCATACGACGCGAAAATGCTTCAACGATCCCTACCAGAAGCACAAGCAACTTGCACATGTGCATGTGAACGCTTGCACGTCTACATACATACATACATACATACGTGCCTACGTATCTACCTACATACGTACGTACGTACGCGCACACAGACATGACGTGCTAGACGCCGTACTATACTGGTATGATGTCTAAATGAACAAACAAATGGATGAATGATATGAATATGTGTACATATTTTTTATTGAGACAGGTTGTTATTTGTACATATATATATATACATACATACACATGCATGGTGCATGTGTTTGTATACATGCGCAAAACCCTAAACCTAAACCCTAACAGCATGGTGCTGACAGGCCGAAGTCGAAGAAGTACATCGACAGCTCGAGGCTGCACAGAGCCAGAGCGTTTTTGAGCGGTTTTCGGCTTTCTGGGGGGTTTAGGGTTTAGGGGTTTCGGGTTTAGGGCTTAGGCTTTAGGGTTTAGGGAATTAAGGCCTTTGGGGATTTAGCTTTGGGGTTGGGTTGTCCGTGCTGCCCACTAGCCCAATACCACACCCACGCAAGGCGTGAGATCTGGTAGGACTGTCCAGCAACTACAAGTTTTCGACATTGAGATTGACACGAGTACGCGTAGATTATCTGTGCCACCCTCCAGCCCGGAGGCACCGAAAACTCAACGCCTTGCATCCCTCAAGCACAAAACCTTCAACTATTTTGTCTTCAATCTAGAGAAGCATGTCTTTGGCAGGAGTTTCGCGACGAGGCCGGCGAGGCAGACCGGACTGTGTAGCATCAAAACTCAAGGGACAACGGGTCCCAAGACGCTTCTTGAACTGCTCTCGGTATCTACGCGCGATCAGCAATACATGCATCCATACCGACATGCATACATACATGCATACATACATACATAGAGACACGCACCGCGGCATTCTCCATGAAGGGGGAGAGAGAGAAGCAGACAGAGGTTGAGATCCTGTCAAAGTGAGCTCACGAGAGATAAGTTCCAAGGGTTCAAAAAAGGGTTCTATAAGGATTCTATAATTAGGTACTCGTACTTCAAGGGTTCCTAGTAGCAGAGTGCGTGACCTTCAACCTACTATAATCCCGGTATAATCCAATATGCTCCCAAAGGTAAACCTTTTGCTTCCCAGTGCTGCTCCTAGACCAAATTTCGGTCCAGTGTTGCAGTCCTTTGTTCGCCGGAGCGCTGGGTCCGGTTTCGGCTTCGCGGTTCTGACTTTGGCTTGTAAGTACATGGAGCACCCTAAAGCCCTAAATCCCCAAAGCCTAAGGTTTTTGAAAACCCATAAAAACACTGAAGCCCTACAGCTCTATACTCCAAACCCTCATGCCTTGAAGCCGAGAAGTGGAGACAGGAGAAGATTGCGCGGCGCTTTGGCAAGTCCCGCACCGTCTCCGAAGGCGAGGCGTATTGATATTAGGGCTACGGTTCAGGTTTTCGGGGCTGATGCGGGTTTAGGGTTTCATGCTGAAGGGGTTTAACAGTTTAACTGGGGTATAGTGAATCCCAGAAAGTTGGAACATGGGTTTAGGATGATTAGTGCTGGGATCCTCTATACTTTACCTGAAGGGCAGGAAGAGAATGATGTTCCAACTTTCTGGCTTCTACTGTAGAGGGGTTTAGGGTTTAAGGCTTTGGGGGTTGGAGGCTACAGTAATATAGGAGCCTTAATAACTAGAATAGGGTTTTGGGGCCCAAGATACTACAATTGTAATAAGGAACCCCCAAAATACGTAGTATTTGTTGACTTGGGGTTTTGGGTTGTGGGTGGCAGGGGGGTGCCAGCTCTTTCACCAAGGCGTAAGCTCGGGCCTGGATCTGAGTTGGGAACCGGACACCTTCACTCTAATCTGCGTAAAAGAAGTCCCAGACCACAGATTGAAGCACCGGAAAGCTAAAGATATCTTGCAGCTTTCTAAACTCCGGAGCTCTTTAGAGAAGCTCTCGTACTGAAAGTCGCTTTCAACATCCTCCTGAAGCCTACATCATTTTTGCATGACTGTTGATTTCTCCCAAATTCATGCCGAACGATCATCGGAATCTGAAGCAACCCTCCGACCCCACCCGAAAGCCCAAGGCCTGAAACCCCGAAGCAGGTTCCTGGTCTGTGATGACTGATCGGCAGGGCGTCGTAAGATGAGCAGGCGGGAACTGCCCAGCTCGATGCGCTTTGTTGCGCAAAGGCCTTCGGAGTGCTTATGGGGTTTAGGATGGTGGAGGGCTTATGCATAGGGTTCTCGAGCATCGCAGGATTTTCTTAGCCTAACCTAATGTGTGTTTGCACGGTGTGCGGAAGCTTTGCCGGAACGCTTGGTTGAGGGCCCCGTGGGTATAACGGATCTGCACTCAGTGGCGCACTCAAGCACGCACGGCTCTTGGGTTTGTAGTAATACATTAATAAGTGCTAGATAATAGTGTCATAATCGCATTAACTGTAATTGTAATCACGCTAAAGATCCTTGATTCAGGGTTGAGGGACGGTCTGAGGGGCCCCGGGATCTTCTGAAGAGTAGTCGCTTCTATGGTGTAGCATAGCTTGTTAAGGGATTCAATATGAGTAGCAGAGGCGCTGCAGTTTGAGATTTAGGGTTTTAAGGTTTGGGTTTAGGGTTTGAAGGGTTAGGGTTTAGGGTGAAGAGGAGTCTGGGATCTTGTTAAGGGACTTAATGTAGGTTACCATAATCAGGAAACCGCATTCTCTACTATAGACCTCTATTTTGGTAACTTAACAATTCCCAATCAACTTCTCAAGCTTACCAAAGAACCTTTCGTTGCATGAAATCAGACACCTTAGATCCTAAACTGTAGAACCATCATCCCTTCGACCCCAAACCCTAACATGTAGGATCCGTCTGTACAGCCCTTATCAAACAAGCATAAAGCCCGAAAGCCAAAAGCCCCAAAGCCTAAAGACAGACGCATTCGAAACCCCGTCGAGGCGGCAGATGGCCGTTAGAACGCTTTGCATCGGGCTGTTTCCGGCGTCAGAAGCACATGGGCTGGCAGCCACGCCCATGCACTTTGACGTGCCCTGCTAGTTTAGTTAAGATTTCGATGGATGCGGGTGGAGGGCATGGTGAGTGTGGTGCAGTTGACTTCGACTTGACTTGCGATTCCTGTACAGGGCTTCGGATATTGAGTTTAGCTCGCCATTCGGTTGAGTAGAAACGGAGCACCTCACCGTGACTTCACAGCCTGACTGCGCACAAGTCGCAATCTTACATTTAATCGTATGTCCCATTGGTTCGAGCTTGGCTCTACTGGGAGGTTCATGGGTAGTTCTAAGTGGAGTTATAAGTCCCCGAATATGGGTTCTAAGTCTTGTCACCCTACTTTTCACCCAACTTATAACTACCCTAAACCCTAAACCCTACAGAACCCTTAAATTAAAGGCACCCTAAACCCCTTGCACCCCTCATAACCCTAAACTTATAACTACCCATGAACCTCCAAGTACCCAGGGTTGAGCTCCGCTCTGCTACAGATACAGAGCATCGTGGCCTCGCCACAATTTCAAGTTAACTTTAGGAAAAAGGTGCGATGGAGGAACAGCTTCAATTGGGTTTAGGGTAGTTATAAGTGGGGTTACAAGTCCCCTAATATGGGTTATAAGTTTAGTTACCCTACTTTTAACCATAACTATCCTAAACCCTAAACCACCTAGAGAACCCTTAAAACCCTAAACCCCTTGTAACCCTGCATATAACTACCCAGGAACCTCCAGGTAGCCAGGGTAGAGCTCCCTGTGAGTGTTGATTGCCTACTTAACCTGAAAGCCCTTCAGGCCCCGGAACCCTCGCACGCGAATCCGCAAAAGCCCTTAAAGCCCAGCAACCCGCCTTGTAAACCCCTAATCCAAAACCCTATAACTCCAAGAAAAGCACCATCAGGATAATTAAGCGTTGATGGAGATCTGCGAGGTTCAGAAGACAGGGAAAAGCAGTAGCAGGAGCATGCATGCTTGATTTGAGGAACCGTCGAGGGGCTCCATTTTCGAAGAACTCCTACCCTCTTGTAACGCTAAACTCATATTCGGCAGGGGTGTCACTAGAGCAAGAGCACTTGAGAATCCTCTAGCGCCTCAAGCTGCGTTTTGCAGGCCCTGAAAAATTAGCAAAAGGTCCTATAGGCCCTATAGAGGCATAAGGCATCATTTATGTAATGTACCCATAAACTGTATTCGCATTGTTCCGGCCGCTATCCTATGAGAGCTATGAGTTCGGCTTCGGGTGTTGGGCTTTATTGGGTTTTGGGCTTACATTCGGGCTCTAGGGTCTATAGGTCCTGCTGTATTTATGAGGAGGAGCTATAAGCCAGACCTTATCACCTTGTCACCTTATCGCACGCATAAACGCTGGATTCGAGCGCTTCCAGATTTGCCTGAGAGCTTGAAATGTGCCGTCCCAAGCCGCCTGAGCTCCTTCAATCCGGAAGCAGCCCCGCAATGGCCAGAGTCCCCAACATCTTCAACCAGCACCCAGTCTCTCCTACACTAGCATAGGGGCCTTAATAATTACCAATACTATTTGGGGAGTTCCTGTTTTATAAGCATAGTATAATTAGTGGGCCCCCAAACCCTATCTAACCTTTGATATTCGAGGAGCTAAAGAGCCAGGGATGATGATAATCCCTATTAAATAAGGAGCAAAAGAGCCAAGGAAACCCCAAAACCACTGCTTAGCTATGTTATTTGATTATTATGGCCCGTATATTAGGATCCTCGGGCACCTGTTGCACCTTAAACCCCACAGTGGGCAACCCAAAGGAACGCCAAAGCCGCGTGCCTGTCCTCCCAATGGCCAGCCATGACAGAATAGCGGACCGTCTCCTCATGTTTTTGCAGGTCGGAGGATTTCGGGGTCTTCCTTACAGTAACCCCAAATAACCTTCCAATTTAAAGGACTCCGATAAGGAAATCATGATAAGGAGCCCTAAAAAGGTAGGATCCTTGGGCTTAAGGTTGGTGTTGCGGCTCTGGGCCTACTCGGGTTGTTTTTGTTTTGAAAATGTTGGGGGAGTCTGAGCCCTAACCCTAAACCCTAAGTAACCTACCTTTTTAAGGACTTATATAAAGAAATCATATTAGGGAACCCTAAAAAGGAAGGTTCCTTATGGTCCAGGTAAACCTTAAACCGGAGTCTGGGCCTCCGGGTTGACTTTGCCGGTAGATTCTCGATAACTCGAGCTTGCAATGCACGGAAGACCCTAAATCCCCCTTGGGGCTTGGTGTTTGGGTATACTGGGGTTTTGTGAAGGGGTGATTTAAGTGACCATATTTCAGGAAACCCTTTTATTTACTATAGATCCCTCTTGTGGTACCTTAATTTAGATTCTCCAACAAGAACCCAGTTTAGGGTTTAGGGACTTGGGCCAGGAACGAGGTGGCGTCGTCTCCTCCACGGACATAGGCGCGGGCATTGACTCTGGGACGGTTGAGAAATCTGCTTGATGGCAGGGGTCACTTTATAAGGATCCGATACCGTTTTTGATCTATATTTCTTCGGTTTTAGTCTGTGGCTTGTCTCAATGTTCAGGGAGCCAAGTACGGCTTCTGCGTAATATGTCAGCAACCCTGGGAAGCCTCGCCAAGCTTGGAAGCCCTGCGCCCACGATACAGCGAATGCCAAACTCTACAATACCATCATGTCTAGTATTGTTAACTCGGTTAACTCTTATCTACTGTTACTATCTATTTGGACCATTATTACTACTATGATTGCAAATATTACTACCATTGATACGTTTGTTACTTTTTCTCTTTCATTGCTATTATTACAATTATTGCAATTGTTACGATTATTACTATGATTAAACACCCTCAGCAATCATTGAATGCCTGCCTGCTTGAAGCACTACGAGGGCCCGTTCAAACGTCTGATGGGAGCACTGCCCGTCAGGCGGGAAGTACCAGATACCCAACACGTCGATTGCCAATCTGCGGAGCTTTTGCGAGACGATGCCGGAGCTCGCGGGACGTTCTGTTTTGTGTTTTCCAAAACTTGGGGTAATTCGAGGTTCAGCAATGCTCAGCATATTCAAAGGTAAAGCTTTTAACAGAGTACAGCCAAGTAATCCATACCCTCAAAGGCAAGGGTGGTGGACCGAGGGTTGCACCAAGGCATCATACCTTTACCTACTGGTTTAGCGACATTCGGGTCTAGAGCAAAAACGCAGGTTCTGGTAGTTTCGGGTCGAATTGTTAATGAGGGATCCTGGAAATGTCCAGCTTGTGATGAATCCGAAAAAACCTTTCAATTGGATTCAATCTTTGAGTTCATGCGCTCCCAAACAAATCGAGTCCTTTAAGTAGTAGCAGTGTGTTCTGGAAGCCCCGACCGCATCGTAGATCCGGCAAGTTGTAGTCCACAACAAGAGCAAGTGCAACTGTGACACACTGCAAGTGCTACTCCGCGAATTGCTTGCTTTGGTTGCTTACGGAGTCCCGGATGACCGATGATGACAAGTCTTGCTAATCCACCTGGGATGCTTTGCTAAAGTTAAGAGGGTTATATAGCATGATGTCTGTCCACCTGGCACATGTCGCAGGATCGGAGGCTAAATTCAATACAAAAGCAGGGGGCGGCTGACCTACTCATACCAGGACTACTTGGAGGTTCATGGGTAGTTATAAGTGGTGTTATAAGTCCCCTAATATGAGTTATAAGTATAGTTACCCTATAGTGTAGACTTATAACCCTGCTTGTACATACCCATGAACACCCAACACCCTCAACCCTTAGGGCCTTTAGATGGACCCGGGCCTTTTGAAAACCAGGCTTCTCATTTCTATTGTCCCAAGACCATACATGTAATATAGTGGTGACAATAATTACCAATACAATGTTGCGGGTTCCTTGTTATGATTATAGCATAATGGGCCCCAAAACCCTATTTTATTTATTAAGGCCCCTATGGTACGAGAGTTTCCGAGTATAGGGGACCCTAATATAGCACCCTAAAAATTATGATCCTCATGATAAGGACCCCCAAAATAAGGTACCCCTAATTTTCGGAAACTCCTATACTAGTCATGCTGCAAAATGGCATCTGCTCACCCATGAAAAGACCTCTTCTGTGCACGGTCCCTGCACAGCACTCAAAGGAGCACTTCAGCATATTGGATCCGGGGAAGGGACCCTGGAGAATACTCCTGGCAAGCTTGGAGCAACTGGACTGTAATTCTCGCTGACAGAACGGTTTGTAAACTCCGTCAGGGTCTAGTAGAAGCCCAAGAGTTTCAAACCCAATAGCCTCAGTCCTTAAAAGTAATGTAAAGGGAGTCCCAACACCATTTGCCCTTAATCCGGTTTCCAACTTTTTGGGGTTTCCTATACTTGGAGGTCCAGGAATAGTTATAAGTAGGGTTATAAGTCCCCTAATATGGATTATAAGTATAGTTACCCTACTTAGAACCTTACTTATAACTACCCATGAACCTCCAATTGCTATAGGCTGTAAGAGTGTAAGGCTCCAAGACTTCATGGTAGTTTCATACTTGTCTGCCTGGCGATCTCACGGACAATGTACGGCATGTAGGGTTTGCAGCAGAGTTGAGGTAATATAGGGGGCCTAAATAATTACCGATACTATTATGGTGGTCCCTTAGTATAATCCTAGTGCAATATCCTATATTTTAAGTACCCGCAACGACCCAGTACTCGGCGATCCTTTTGGGATTTGGGTAGGTTTTCTACCAGTGGAGCCGAGGAATTCGAAGTGTTTGGGGATCTTCAGTACTTGGGATTTGGGGCTTGTGCTATCCTGGTAAGGTAATATAGAGGCCTAAGTTAAATTAAATCCCAGAAATATTCCTTGGGCTCCTTCTTATAATTCTGCTACAAAGGAACCCAAAACCCTGTTCGAATTATTGAGGCCCCGACAGTAAACCCGAGACCGAGGCAGGATGCCCTCACAGAGCTCATCCGATTCATTGCTGCTCGGGGAGGTTCCGCTTTGGGGCTGACACGGTACGATACTTCGAGTGCCGACAATTAAGGACCCGTGAATCCATGAAGCAGTTCCTGAAACCTAGTGTAGCGGCCTTAAATAATTTGAATAGGATTCGTTTAAAGGGGTCCTATAAGGGATCTATAGGAGGGGTCTATGATAGAGGGGTCAAAATAATTGGAATAGGGGTTCTGGGGCCTATTATACTATTAATATAGCAAGGACTCCCCAAAACAGTATAGGAATTTATAAAGGCCCCTGTCTTACCCCCTTGGAGCCGTAGAGCCCAGTTACCGAAAAAGTTGAGTTGCAAGGTTGCACGGACTTTAAAGGCTCATATTAATATGGGTTTTCAGGAACAGTCTCCCCGCTAACCGGGCTTCTAATACAGGGGCCCAAATAATTACCGATACTATTTTGGGGGCTGCTTATTATAATTATAGTATAATGGGCACCCAAGCCCTATTCTAATTATCAAGGCCACCCGGGAGGTTCGATTGGAATTGGCGACGTGGCCGAGTTTCACCACCATTTCCCGGCTCTCTCGGAAGCTGTCTTTGACCACGGGCGCACGTTCCGCCAGTTCTGCGAGAAGCATCGGGCGCCACACGACTGCATCCAGGGAGAAGAAGGCTTCAACCATACCTAATATTAATATGATGATTATTATTGTTATTACTATTACTATATTACTATATTCTATTTATATTTTTAAATGTTATTGATGATATTAATAGTATAAATATTGCTAATATTATTGATATTGTTATTGTTCTTCATCTTATTATGATGACTATTTTTCATATTACTATTTTCAAGAATAAGAATAATAGTAATAGATATTTATTATTGTTATTATTTATCCTGCCGGCGGACATGGCCCTATGGCCGTTCCGTGTTTTGCTTGGAGTTTGCGGCTGCGTGGGGTCGGAATATACCTTAAATCATATCTGCAATAATTTAAGGAATATTCCTTGATTAAGGGATATTGGAGTCTCTGGGATGTCGGAGTGGTGCGTCGTGTTTAGGGTGGCTTCCGTGGTTGTGCAGTTGAGCTCTAAAAAAAGGCATGGGGATAGAGGTGGTGATTTCCGTGATGATGTTGATGACGATTACCATGACCATTGATCGTGCAGTTTATCGGCAGTTGACTCGGTTGTACAGCGAGATGGAAAAGTACAGGCAGCCAATCGCGTACTTATGTCTTGCGCGCGCGCGCGCGTTCCTCCATCCTTCAAGTGTCACGTACACATCTGCTTCCTGTGTTCTCCAGCATACACCGGATTCAATACCAAAACAGGGGTAGGCCTTGTGGCTTTAGGTGTCACTCTCTCTATCTTTTTCTCTCTCGCCTTCTCGTCCTTCGGACTGGTGTTACAGGTTCAGGGCTTTTAGCAGCACTTGCTGGGCCCCTTCGTGCATCTACACCTGGGGTCTTAATAATTAGAATAGGCTTTGGGTGGAAAATATGCTAGATTTTTAGTAAGGACCCCCCCCAAAAAAAGTGTATTGGTAATTTTTGAGGTCTTAATAGCTATGGTCTCCTTGGGAATTGTTTTTGTATTTTTGTTCATATAAAACCCAAGAGAATATTACAAATTAGAGTTTTATGATGGTTCTAAGGGGGGTATAGTAGTATGCCCTAAACCCTCAGCATGAGGTTTCTGATGTTGGAGGACAGCCCGCATGGAGGAGCCTGGAGCCTCTGTCTCACGGGCATGGCGCCTTTTTTGCAATGGACGTAAACATGGGAGTTTCCGAAGATAGGGGACCCTTTATGTGTTCCTTTAAGGGATCTATAAGGGTTCTACAAAGGGTTTAGGGTTTAGAAACAAATTATGGGAGTTTCCCAAGACACGCCCCCAAATAATACCCTAAATTGTAGGATCCTTGTTAAGGACCCCAACATGTGGTACCCTGATTTTCTGAGACTCCCACATGGCCTCAGAAGTTGGGATAGCTGAGGGAAGGTTGAAGTGGCAAGTGGGTCGAGCATGCAACTCGAAGTCACGTGTCCAATGCAACATCAGTTGCAGCACAACCCTACTGTAATTGTGCACCCAACTCGCGACTCCGGGGTGGTGCTGATGCTTCACTTCAATGCTTCCTAGCCTTCTTGTGCTTTCGTTTTCGCTACTGTCGCAAGCAGCACAGAGTCGAATATAGGGGCTTTAAAAATTACCTACTATTTTGGGGGTTCCTCAGTATAACTATAGTGTAATGGGCCCCAAAACCCAAGTATTCTGATTATTAATGCCCCTATTAAGGGAAGGCATACGGCCGTAAGGCCCAAAGCAGCATCAGCCTTGGCCGGCGATTACAAGCGGCGCAGCCCAATGCCCCAAATGCCGCAGCCATGGCCTCAAACCACCCAAACCCGGTGACTACGCATGCCAAACCGTACCGTAGGCCATCGCTCTTGTCGACTGTGCTTAGGCACCAAACTTGCCACGGGTTGTTCAGGTGGCTTGGGGGGGGATGGGTTTTCTGACGGGGTTTGCGATTTTAATGGGCTCTGTAATCCGGAAGACTTATCAGGGTTTCGAGACCAAGGCCGGATAGCAATGAGTTGATGATGGCAACAACAACGACCCTGCCATGGTGTTGGTAGTTTATCTGAACCAACAGCGATGCCGTCTTGGGTAGGGGATGTGTCTGATGGATTTGGGGGGTGTTGCCCCGGAGTGAAACCGATGGTTGCTAGGTCAAGTGGGCCTCCTGATGCCAGGGTGCACCTCATTGGTGTGAGTCTTCTTGCCGTTGTTGTCTCAGTGGTGTTACAACCGCGGCGCTGTTCATCACGAGTTACCGTGCATGTTGAGGCGACTTGGCCCCCTCGTCTCCCATCGTCCACGTCATGCTCTCGGCGTGGGATGCATCACGGCCGAATCGGCAGACATGGCACAACGTCGCAGCTTCAGGCAAGCCCCTTTGACTGCCCAGTTCGGGTATCCGGGGCAGCACAGCGCACCGCAGCAGCCTCAGTCACTGTCGAGGCTGCTGACAGATGATGTAGTCCATGTAGTTGAGCCTGGTCATTGCACTGAGAACGCACGGGCCCTGGCTGCGATCCGAACCAATGCAGCCCGGGCTGCAATCGCCAACACAGACAGTACAACCCGAGCACACTCTGCTCGCTTCTCTCTGTAGTTCGCAGGTGCATAGGAGCCTTCACAATTAGGATAGGGTTCCTCTGAAGGGGTCTTTATGGGATCTACAAGGGTGCTACAGCGAGTTGGGACTCCTATGCCGGCCAGGTCAACGAGCGTGGCTGTGGCCCGGAACCAGATGCGGGAGGCCAGCGGGCTCTGTGGCTTGTTGACTCCCCTTGACTTACCTTTGGTTAGTAGGGAATGGAAGAATGGTAGTAATAGTAGTTAAAATTGTACCATTGTACCCCATTCCTCCATTCCCTACTAACCAACGGTAAGTTAGTGGCGCATGGCTGTCTATGCAGCAAGATGAGGCGAAAACCATGGTCCAACTACGGCGCGTACCCATCAGCGCAGAAACCTCGAGCCTGCAGTCAAAAGCAACCGCAATGTCCCAAGCAAGTATACAGCCAAAAAGCCATGGGAGGCAGTATTGAATCTTCCCCAGAGGGTCCATATATACTACTACTATGGAATTAGGTCCCCGGAGCCATATTAGGGATGGTTTTTGGGATCTAATTCCATAATGGTAGTGTATATGGACCCTCTGGGTTCGGAGACTCAACCGACTTCCCTCGAGCTCGTCTTACAGAGAGCAGCACATAGACCTCTCAATCAGGACGGATCGCCACCGACGACGTCCCAACCTTCGGGCACCACCTCAGGATCTAAACCAGCTTTAATGTTAAAATTCGCTAGGTGCTTGACAAAGAATTTCAGATGCCTTTTAAATTTAGCATTTCAGACGCCCGAATGCGATGCGCTTGGGCTTCCCGGCATGCCGGGTGCTTGAACAACTCAACTGCTACACTAGTGGTTGTCCCTCTTGGGGGTCCTTAATATATAATAGGGCACCTAATATTTAGGGTACCCAATTAGGGACCAGAATTTTGACAACTACCTATATGTTTTACAATCAGCATAAGGCATAAGCCTAAACCCTAAACCCTGAAGATCTGCCAAAACGCATTCCCGAAATCTCGCGTCTTCTCGAGCAGGCTGTAGCCACGAAGGGGCCGGATTAAAATGTCAGCGCATGGTCTCCATAGATTACCATATTTACTAGTCGGATCTACGCACAACCCTATTCCAAGCATGATGGCCCCTATATGTTACCTGAGCTGCAAGGACTAGTTGCTCGAGATGAAGACGTCGAGAGCAGCTCGGAGTGCGGCGACACGCCTGTGCCGGGAACTGTTGAGCTGAAAGTAAGCGAAATCCGCTGGGCGCATGACTCAATCAAGGCGATGAAAGCCCAAAATGCTGGGTTTACCTTAACCCTGAATAACCTTCAAATTTAGGGCTCCTTACCATAATTCCCTTATATAAGTCCGAAAACAGGTAGGCTATTCCGGGTTCAGGTAGGGTTTAGGATTAAACAAATGACAGTATAAGGGCCCTATAGGCCCTATACTGTTTCTAGAAATGTTCCCAGTGAAAAGAGAGTAGGTTTTTTGTGCTCTTGGTAGTACAACTGTGCTAGAGTTGAAAGGGGTACCGGGTACCAAGTACAGCTGGTAGTGCTGATTTTTCAGACCGCCATATTGACCTATATGCCCTAAATCGCATCACGCTTTGCTGCAGAGAAGGACTTTAAGCATGACCCGATACAAACCGTACCCGATGTCACCTTACAGTTACGCGAAGTTTAGGGTTTAGGGCACCCTTGGAATCCGCCAGGTTCGCTTTCGAAATGGCATGCTGCTGGTGGACACGCTGAAGGAGCTTCTTGATGGGAGGCTAAAGCCACACCAGCTGCCCCCCTTTGCTGCCTCTCGGCTTATCCAGCACATTGCCGTTTCGTTGTTTTTTAAATATTTGTAGCGTGATTAATTAAGGCTGTGGCCCTTCGTAGAGGCACAGACATATTTGCAAGGGTGATGCTGCCAGATGCAGTTCGTGCAAGCTTAGCCGTATCTGAGTAGGAGGATCGTAGTGTGGAGGCCTGATTCGCGCGGGTGTCCCCATGTAATGCGAAGTTGTGCCGACCGTATTCTTACTGAGATCCTTAATTACAGTAGTATCAAGGTGGCCTTCTGAAATTTCAGTTTTAGGGTTTAGGGTTTAGGGTTCAGGGGCTTAGGGTTCATTGTGTTTCCATTACTTTCGAACTGACACTATTTGCAAGCTTCTGGAGCCCGCCCCGGGGCGCAACATTATTAACCGCTTTTGTTTGTTGTTTAAGGGGGACCACACGAATCAGGCCTTCACATTAGCCTGATAGGCCCTTCTGGACAGAGGATTGTTGCAGGTCTGGCAGCGGGCCCAGAGACTCCAATATCCCTCAATTACACTCCCGGACGGCAAGTTAGAACCACCCAGACCCAAAACCTCGGGCACCAGTCCCCCCGCAGGAAATTCCGAGCGCGAAGTTAGAACCAGATTTGTCGTTTTCGCCCGGGGGCCAAGTTAGAACCACCCCAGGGAAGTTAGAACCACCCTCCATATACCACAGAGTACCACATCCGTACCGCCCCGCACCAAGACATGCTCATTAATTCAAGGCGTACCGCGTATAATAAACAGCCCGTACCGCCGACGTGCTGCCCATGTGCTGCGCCCCGTGCCGCCCCGCACTGCCGTGCCGCTGTGAGCAGATGCGGGACGGCACAGCGTCAACGCGCATGCAGCCTATACACGGGGCGGTACAGGGTGGTATACAGGACGGTGTGGCGGTACGGGTGTGGTCTGCCTGCGGGAGTACGGTGCGGTATGGGGCGGTGCGGTGCGGTAGGGGTAAGGAGGCGCGGTAGGGGGCGGCAAAAAGAGGTGGTATGAGCGGGCCGGTACGAAGGGGCGGTACGGGTGTGGTATGCTGCATATACGGGCAGTGTGGGGTGGTTCTAACTTTCCCCGCCGTGGGCCGCCAGGTGTAAAAACTGATCAAAATGTCTGGAAAAAACACTATTCAACGTGTGACGTGTGGCATACCGTTACCGCCTACGGGGCGGCACGGGGTGGTTCTAACTTTTCCCCGCCGTGGGCCGCCTGCTGTAAAAACTCAGCAAAATATCTGGAAAAAGTTTCAAAAACAGGTGTTGAAGCAGGGTGGCTCCAACTTCCCTTGGCGACCTTCCTGCAGCCCAGAAGGGTGCGGGGCCGGACGGGGCAGTACGGCGCGGTATGGGGCGGTGCGGTGCGGTATGGGGCGGCAAGGCGCGGTACGGGGCGGTATATAGAGGTGGTACGAGCGGGCCGGTACGAAGGGGCGCGCGGTAGGGGGCGGCAAAAAGAGGTGGTACGAGCGGGCCGGTACGAAGGGGCGGTACGGGTGTGGTACGCTGCATATACGGGGCGGTGTGGGGTGGTTCTAACGTTCCCCGCCGTGGGCCACCAGGTGTAAAAACTGATCAAAATGCCTGGAAAAAACTATTCAACGTGTGGCATACTCTTACCGCCTACGGGGCGGCACGGGGTGGTTCTAACTTTCCCTGCCGCGGGCCGCCAGCTGTGAAAACTCAGCAAAATATCTGGAAAAAGTTTCAGAAGCAGCTGTTGAAGCAGGGTGGTTCTAACTTCCTTTGGCGACGTTTCTGGTTCTAACTTGCTGCTCGGGGAAAGCGGCGCCCGAGAAAGCACAACGACGCCCGAGCAAAACTGGGGCGACAAGGGTGGTTCTAACTTGCCGTCCGGGAGAGTAAGGAATATTCCTCAAATTATAATATATACATGTATATATATATATATATATATATAGATATTCCTTAACTAAGGGGTATCGGAGTCTCTGGGTTGTTGCAGGTCTGGCAGCGGGGATGCACATGGTTCGCCATTACTGGCAATCGGCGCCTTTGGGTGCTGCGGGAGCTGGCAGCGGTCAAAGGAGCGGAGGCTGGAAGTGGGGTTCAGGGTTTAGGGATTGAGTAGTTTGCGGGTTCAGGGCACAAGCTTCGGTTTTAGAGCTTAGGGCTTAATTAGTGCCTTGGGTTTAGGGTTTAGGGCTTGGTATTGGATAAGTGTCGTGTACCCCGAAGCCTTCATCCTCGATCCCACTCGGCTTAAGTTCATACAGAAGACAGTGATATTGATGCATCACTTTATGATGTACTTTTGTGTTTATGCCGTGTGCATGTTGAGTCCAGTCAGGCAAATGAAGGTTTGTTTTGTAGCATGGGTTGCTTGACACTTCTTGACGACAACACAGAAACAGTCTGCTGCGAGGTGGTCGTGAGAGCTCGGCAGCTGGATCCTGGAGTGCACCTGTCGCCTTGGTTTCACTGCATGTTCAGCACGGGCTGCGACGGGGTCAAGGTGCAGTTCCGTGCAAAGGGGGTTTATCCCAGCATGCAGATTGCCCTTGGGTCGTGCCGGAGTTTGCCTACCTTGAGAGAGACGCTTGGCATTCTCGAGCCCTACGGTTTACTGCTAGTTCCAAGGCTGTAGAGTAGCTGAGCATCAGGCATATAATGGCAGTCAACTGCGGCTCCGTGGGTTTCAGAAAGGAAAGCATAATTGCAAGAAGCCTCAGCATCTTGCAACACATCCAAGCTCCATGGGGGTTGACCAAAATTGTGGGCCCATATGGGGTCTGTATGAAAGTACATTCCTTATAGGCTAGGGGACCAAAAGGGGCCCATACTTTTGATCAACGCCCACATCAAATCCGCAAAAGAGATCCTAACGTCCTACTTGGAGGTTCATGGGTAGTTAGAAGTAGGGTTATATGTAGGGTAACTATACTTATAACCCATACTAGGGGACTTCTAATCCCACTTATAACTACCCCTAAACCTCCAAGTAGAGAGCTTGAAGGAACTGAAACCCCATCTCAGGCCTTTGCCCCTAGACCCACATAAGCCCCTGCAGGAGCCAGCGAGGCTATACCCTAAACCCTAAACCCTACCCCTAAGTCCAAAGTCCAAGCTTCGAGCCTTTGTTTTCCGAGAAGTGGGAGTTTCCGACAATAAGGGTACCTTACTTTGGGGTCCTTATAAGAAGGATCCTACTATTTAGGGTGCTATATGAGGGTCCCCTATTTTCGGAAACCCAGCTGAGGCTGCTAGTGGCTAAGCAGCTCCACGAGTCGTCGGGTCCGGTTGCACTCGAAGTTCTTGAGCGGAGATTCGCCGGGAAGTTTTCAGTTGCGGAGGTGCGGAGAAGTCTTTTGTCGATGCACAGTGCAGGGTTTGGGCTTGGGTGTTTAGGGTTCCTTAAAAGGGGTCCATAAGGGCTACGATAAGGGCTAGTATAAGGATTTAGTACAGGGATCTTGATAATTAGACTAGGGTGTTGGGGCCCATTACATTGGGGGGGGGGGGGGGCGCGCAGAACGATGCGTTCCATGGCGCTTTAGAACTGTATCTCGGTGGGGACTGCGGGTGTCTGTCCAGTTCCGGGACAGTTTCAGTTGCAGAGAGTCCGTAAGTTCATGGTGAAGCTGCGAGTACGAAGGACATGCAGGATTTCAGGTGCAGAAGCATGTTTCTTCTGTACTTCCAGGACAGGGAAGGCATACCGCATCAAGTGTGCTGTTGGCTGTAGTCGCCACAACCTGATATTGCAATTGTGTCAAAGCTAAGAACCTAAACTTCTTCGTTTTCGATTTTCTAGCTTTATAACTTAACCTGTAACTACACACAAAATCGGGCCAGCCAAGTTGGGTGGAGGAAATGTCCAAAGCTCGTAGGATCATGACAACTGGAGCTCATGAACATCCGTGTGTAAGCCCAGAAGCTCAGTGGTTTGAACGCGAGACCGCGCGCATCGCCCTTAAAGGTCGTCCTCTCCAAGCCCAGCTTCTTCACGGTGACTTCGGGCCAAGTCGCCTTTACGCGGCCGCTGAATCTTCGAGCGTCTTGGGCAAAAATGAGCTAAGATGCCCTTGCCGGCGCTGGTGTTGGATTGAACAGACCTGACTCAAAAGTCTAAACCCCCCAACGGCTGGATCTGGTTACTATATAAGGGCCTAAGTAGTTACCTATACTATCCTATACTATTTTGGGGGTTCCTAAATATTACTGTTGTACAATGGTCACCAAGAACCTATTCTATAATTTTTAAGGCCCCTATATATTACAACCGGCTCAAAGCGTTGCCGAGCCCTTGAACCCCTGACTCCCAAGGCGCCGGCCCTCGCCACGCCGAACGCTCCTGCGCCAACGCCGCCAGTGGCGAACTCGGCTCCCAAGGCGGATTCGGCGACGGACGGCAGTCCACTTGGAGGTTCAGGGGTGGTTATATGTGGGGTTATAAGTTCCCTAATAAGGGTTATAAGTATAGTTACCCTGCTTTTTGCTCACTTTTCTACCCATGAACCTCCAAGTCTGGTCCTTGGCTTGCGGATTTTCGTCCTCAAGGGTTTCTGGTGCCGCGAACTGTTTTGTGCTGTCAGTTGTTGCTGCGAAGACTGTTGACATGTGCAGTTTCAATCTTGCAGTTCGAATGTGAGGCAGCGAGGGAGGATGTCCTAGTCCTACTAAGGTTTGCTCACCTAAGCCGCCTAAACTGACTTCGCAGTATGCTAGGGTCCCCTTGATCAAACCGAATTGTAGGACAAAGGGTGCCATTATTATAACGCGGCTACTCAGGAACCTATTTCTTATGAGCTGCTTCAACAGAGTCTTGCAGTGCAACAGCGTCAAGCTGCCGCTGTGCAGGCGCATGGCATGCCGCCTGCGCGCCCGATATTGATGTCAGCGGCACCACCCAAGGCACCATTCATCAGTCGGGGATGCGGAGGGCATAGAGCCGTAACTATACACAGCTTTACAAATGTGGCCGAGTAGACCTGGACCAGCCGAGACACCAAGTTCGCGGATTGGAAGACTACAGTCTTGACAGCCAAACCCGAAGCCTCGAAATGACCAGTCTGCATAGCAGGTCCTTGGTCTCGCCACAACACACTTCGACAAACGAGCGGTAGAATCGCTTGCAAAAGAACCTAGTACCTACGGACCCCGCAAGAAAACAAGAAGCATCGAAACATGCAAACAACATGTGACCAGCGGAAGAATCTCCTGGTGATATGTCAAAAGCTATATCGCTGCAACCAAAACCCAGACCTGAAACTCAAAAACCCTAAGCTTTCCATGTTTGAATGCTGGGAGTTGCCTATGCAATCTCGCACACCTTGTGCAGCCACAATGATCCACACGGATCGAGACATGCTTGCACATTGACTGAATTGGCAGAGGCTTTCTTGTGGTATATTACTATTCCACAACTATATATGGACGACAAGAGAGGATGCTCCACACTTGAAGCTGCCCTGGTCATTAACTCTTCACCCACATGTGTTGCCGTTCGTCTGCACCCGTAAGTGGGAAGCTTGAACTCGGTATCTGTTCTACAGCCGCTTCATGCGAACATATACTGTAGGGCTCTGCATACTTAGCAGAAGAAATCCGTTATCGTCGTTGTAACATTCTGTTAGATGGTGCCGGCAAACCCTGTGCAAGTCAAGCCGATAAGACCGTATAATCACCCTTGCAGGACCTTAGCAGTCCCCTAGGAGATCCTTCGAAAGCCTCTCTCGAGTCTTTTAGTTTAACCCCAAGGGTCCAAGTACCCAATAATCATAAACTCTCCCAAATCCAAGCTACATAACTAGGTCAGGCGCGCACCAGGACCCGGGTAGAGATGTGAGGTACGAATTGCAATATTGCCTAGGGAAAAAGCTGATTTCTTAGCAAAAACAGGTTTTGAAAAAGCCTTAAAAACTATTAACGACCTGAACCGACAAGTGAAGTTGAAGCACTGTAAGTTCTAAAACTTGCGACCAAGGCAGGCAGCGCTGGGGCTTAAGGTTCTGCGCATCGTACACACATATGTAAGGGTCGCCGATATACGTTCATGGTCTTATATGCCATGAACACCACATAGATCTCAGACGTTACATACACATGAACATTTGTCGACGACCCTTGCATATCTGCGTGACCCTTACATTTGTGTGCGGTCGTAGAACGTCGTCACTGCCCCCCCCCCACCCCGCCCCTAAAGCGTTGCTATCCCCGAAACCCACCAAAACAGCAGGTTAACACCAGGGACCCGGCGCGCGCGCCACCAACTACTATCCTAAAGCCGAGTACCTATTTATTGGGTCCTTTGGACCCTATGGGTTAAGGACTCTGTAGTCGGCCTGTGCTGATAGCCCACATGCTCAATGGAGGCTCCGGCATGCTCCAACAGCTCCTCTTCGCAGGACAAAACCTATGAGTGCTGTTTAGGGCGTGGTCTATACGGGTTTTTGTGAGTAGTCTTGAGTGGGTTGTTGCATAGGATTCGCATAGAGCTTCTATAGGAGTTTAGGGACTTCAACAGTCAGTCGTCATATTTTACCGTCAGGGCTTCCTAAGCTATGGCGAGTATGACTCCCAGATATCTTGTTGTCCTATAAGCCCTTGAACCGCAAGCCCTGAAAACGCTCACAGTTTTGATGGCGACGACAACGGCACATTCTCAGCCCCGCGCTGCAAAGGTTGGATATATCTAAGCCACTAAGTGCATGGTGTTTGTGTCGAGCTCGTGGGGTGGCTCATCGGTCTTCCACGTTACTGAGCCTTCCGGAATGTGCTGCAATCCGTAAACTTAGAGTTTAATAGTGATAGCAAGGACGCTAAACATGGGCTGTAGCACTCGCCTATTAACCTTAAGCCTAAACCCTACACTCTAAACCCTAAACCCTACACCCTAAACCCTAAGCCTACACCCTAAACCATTTTATCAGGCAGCTTTTGAGCCCCCGTGTGATCAAGCCAACAGCAAAGATTGCACAGGTTCACCAGATAGTTGTTTATGGTCTTAGGGTTTTAGGGTTTCTGGGTTTGAGGGTTTTAGGGGTCTAGGGGTTTAGGGTTTAGGGAAGTTGCCCAAGGCCTCAGCAGAATACACAGATTCAGGTACCCAAACGACCCTAAAGATCCCAAGCTGTACAGAATCTTGAAGCCGCAAGCCCTTCTTGAAGTATCACGGGGGGGTTGTAAAGAGCATTACAGCTAACGCCAACGGTGCCTCAGTGATTACTTGCATGCAGAAGAATCAGGTGAATTGACAGTGCTTGTGTTGAAGGTATTTTGGGTTCAGGGCGCCTGGCGACCATGTATGTTTTTTGGTGTTCTGTTTCGGATACTAGCATTGAGACGCCCCGCGTTAGCCCCACCGGCTAAACCTTCCACCTGCGGTTTCACCACATGTGGTAGTTCTCTAAGCTAGGGTCACTTTGGTGGTGCCGAACGATTTTGGGACCGAAAAAGGGACCCTAATTTAGAGAACTACCCAAAGGCTCCATAGTGGTTCCTTTTTGGGATTACCTTATAGGACTCTAAACATGAACCCCAAAAGGAACTACTATAGAGCCTACGGGTACTCACATGAAACTTCACAGTTTTTCTATAGGGGCCTATATAATTGCTAATACCATTTTGGAGTTCCTTATTATAGTTACAGGATAACGGGCCCAAAAACCCCATTCCAATTATTCAGGCCCCGATATTACGTGCATGTATGGAGGATCCCTGGTCCAGTGGCAAAGATCCCTGGAGCCAGCACTTGGAGGTCAGCACGTTTCATGTCGAAGGGATGTATAGGGTACCTTTAGGGTTTAGGGTTGAGGCGTTAAGGGTTCCTGTAAGGTATCTATAGGGTTCCTTTGAAGGGCTCTTTGAAGGGATATATCTGCATCATTCGACCATCATAGCGTCTGGAACGACTGGGGGTCCAAGCCTTACCCAAAGGGTCCAAAGCACCTGTAAAGTAGAATGTAGGGTTTCAATATTAGGAATCACAATTATGATTTGGGGAAGTATCACCCATAACAATACCTAGGACCCTTTGGGTTAGGATGGCCTTGGGACGTGTTGTCCGCCCGTTGCGCCCCTCTCCAAGAAAGCGGATGTCCCACTACAAAGTCGCGAAAGCGACTTCGTAGAAGGTTCCCCCAAAGGGAACACATCATACCGAAAACAGGGGGCCATGGCGGCAGCCATTAAGGTTTAGGGGTTTAGGGTTTAGGGACACTTGTGCACGGGTGGAATGTGTATGTGTTGATGGGCTTACTGCGCGCTAACCTACATGAGTTGTTTTACCAGATTCTGTCCACTCGTTTCGAGAGGATACCTAAAAAACCGTTCGGAAGAACTGCTACATCTCGCAGCAGATCCCTCAGTTTCAAGACCCTGTACCTGGACCTGAACGCCGAAGCCCAGTGTACCTAACAGAAGTGCTTTGAGACTTCCAGATATGGAGTCCTCGTGTAAACACCAAACAGCGATCCGCACAACCTAATTATGAGACCCCCGGCCCCGGATACTACGTAAAGTGCAATCCAGCTTTTGCTCTTCGTAGCTCTGCACACCCACACCATCAGAGCATCCGGGTGCCAGGAACAGCGGGCGAAAGCCCCGCCGCTGTTTAGCCCTTCGGGCGCAGGAGACGAAGATCCCGGGGCAGATGGGAAATACCCCTGGACGGCGGCCTCCGCGTCCTCTTCTGCACCCAGATGCTTGGCGTTCTTGGGACTGCTTTTTTTCAAAAGCAGGGAATAGCCAGTGAACGTGGTGGAGATTCGGAGCTTAGCGACTTAATGGTTGCAGAGATGGAAGAGTGGACTAGAAACCATCTACTGGATACTAGTTTCAGCGCTGAAAGCGCTTCGATTCAAGGATATCGAAGCCCACCGCCTCGAAGACCAGAGGGCTCCGAGCCCCAGATGTTCAGGATGGACACAGACTCCGAGGGTGAGCCCAGGGCCCCGGCGCGGGCTCCGCCGAAGCCGAAGCCGCCACCGCCACCGGTGCCGAGCTCCTCGGAAGAGTGACCTGGCCTTCTCTGCTTGGGAGGGGTGTGAGGGTTTCGGAAACTTGGGCAGACAAACTTCCGGACACCTTCAAAACCTTATCCAGAGGTACAGAAACCCGGACCCCTTTTTCTCTGGGAACCAGTACTTTGATGGTGAGCTGGCCTACCTGGGCTTCAGGTCTGAGGGAGAGCCCAACTCGCCCAATGCAGCGTGCAGCGACAAGAGAATCGAAGCGCAGGACGAGAGTGTCGTGTGAGGGAGCCTCACTTTGCCAAAACCCCTGCAATACTGAAATATGGCCCCTCTTTGTCTAGACAAGGTAATTCAGGCGCACCCGCCATACTATACAGAAACCCTTCGTTGCTCGAACGGGTCTTTGCTTCAAGCACGTCTGGATGGAGACAGGCTACTTTTTAGCAGCAAAATTTAGCAGTTAGGATCTCACCGTTTAGCGTTTGGATAGAGTTCGCATGCTCGCCATACTGTACAGAGCTCTTCGTTACTCGAATGGGTCGTTGCTTGAAGCATGGCTGGATAAGAAGCGGCTTCCATGTTCAGGCAGCCAAAGGTCGCTATGCAGGGTGTTTGGGTAGAGCTTGGGTTTCAGATGGTCGCCATATCATCATATACCATCACCACCATCAGCAGCGGCACATCCATCATCATCATCATCACCACATCATCCGGCAGCTCCTGGTGGAATTGACTTGTTCACCCGCTCCAATGGAGGCTGGCCCCGTGGAGTTGTCCTTCACAACGCTTCAGCATCATGCGTCATCACAACCATCCCCACGGCCCGACGGTCCCCATCCTCATCCTCTGTCCTCGTCTCTTTTTGAACTTCACACAAGTAACAAGCGGCATGTTCTTATTCATCCCCCTCGCCATTGACATAACTATCATCATTATCGCCGAGGTTTTCTAGAGGAATCAGGGTTCAGGCGTTTGTTTTAGTCATTTGCGGGCTTCCTGAAGAGACCGTTTTCATGAGCATCCCACTTCTTGTGTCAGCTTTAGCACTCATCCGAAGCATCCCTACAACCGAACTCTGAACCCAAAAGAATGCAGAGCTAGCTGCCTCAGAAAGTAGAGTTGGTTGCGGTGTATGTCCGAAGGCGCCGTGATTAAGCCGATCAGCTTCCGGACCCTAAGCTCTAGGACCTACAACCCCCATGTCACGCTGACACTTACTGATCAAAGAACTAGATGTCAAAGCTATCGAATACCAGACAATGACAGGATTAAATGCCCGACAAACACCATGAAAACAAACAAAAACAATCGAGACTTCACCAGCTGCATGGGTCGAACGAAGCCGTAAACTCTAAATGGGAGTTTCCGAAACTAGGGGTACCTTATTTTGGGGTCCATATAATAAGGATCCTATGATTTGGGGTGCTATATTAGGGTCCCCTGTTTTCGGAAACTCCAAGATACCCTTACCTTGTGCAGGCAGCCAGTGCCAAGCGCTCTGTCACATGGCCAGCATTTTGGGCTTAGGATTTCGGATTCAGCGTGGTTGGTGCAAACAACAGTCGCACATCCAGTGATGATGAAACACTGACATAGCGTGGGGAAGCGGAGGTTGGCGTGTACGTATGACATGAGTATTTGTAGTACAGAATATAGTATATAGCATTATAATAGACTACATGATATAAAATATACAGTATACCAAGAGATTAATTTGTCAACAAAATGCTTTAAATATTTCCTAAAATACTATCTAGTACAGTTGATATAGTGTACAGGAGAAGTTACAATATACCATACATGCTCAAGAGTATTCTGTGTATGTAATATACAACAGGTAAGTTGTAACATGGAAAATGTAACATCAAGCATATACAATATAGGAATGTATATATATATATATATATATATATATATATGTATGTATGTATGTATGTATGTATTCTACCGATATATATATATATATATATATATATGTGTGTGTGTGAACAGAAAGGTGTGGATGCTGCTCACAGTTCGATACTTTGAAAGTAACCCGGACACTCCGGGATAGTGCTTTGTTAAGAACCTCGAGATAGCGACAAAATATATATATATATATATATATACGTGTAACATATACATTTACAATGCAAAATACATAGATGTATATATAATATTAAAACATAAAGCATGTAATATGCAAATAATATCTAATGTCTAACATTTAATGTCTAATGATCTGCATAATGAATTGTAATATGCGTATATATGTATGTACACATGCATCACACGTTCCGAGCCCTGCCCCCCCACATGCAAAGTAGACAGCAGAGAGTTCTATCGATGTTGAGAAACACGGTCCTGCAAGTCCCTGGAGATTATGTTAAATTCTGTTTTGTTGGCCGATCCTCGCACTTTTCACGTCCTAACGCCTGTGGAGGTAAGCGCTCCGGCGTCAAGGGTTGCTGAAGGTGTGCTTCGGCCACCTGCCAAGGGGCAACAGTCGCCGCAACCGTCGCAGACTCAGCTGTGCATGCGATTCAGCTGTCAGCCATGAAAGTGGCTCAGTGCAGTCAGTAATGCGGGTCGGTCTTGATCCCCACACCGGGCCATGTCGAGAATTGCGGTTTCTCATCCCCAACCCATGCTAGCTAGTAGACACGGGCTTGCAACACTTCCGAGTTTCGGAGCTTGGTGAAGCAACCCGCGTGCAACATGACAAAAGTGCAAGCCCTGGGACCCAAAACCATGAATCCGAAACTCAGCAATTCCTATCTGAGGCCTCCTCTGAGATTGCCACAGCTGTCGCCGAATCCAGGACAAGGGCAGCGCTGCATCTGCAACCTGGGAGGTGCTTGGACATGTTGGGGGTTGGGGTCTGTTTTAAATCGGCTTCCCTTTATTGGGTTCAAGGTGCCATCACCACCAGGATCTCCGGACTATAGGAATTATCCAAAGGCCCCAAAGTAGTTCCTTTTTGGGGCTCGTATATAGAATACTATAGGGTAATCCCAAAAAGGGGCTACTATGGGGCCTCTGGGTATGCAAGGACTATGTATTTCATCATCACGGTAGCGGTGTGTGCTACATTGAAGCGAAGTTGGGATCAGTGTGTCTGGCCTTGTCAGTCAATCAGTGACAGCATGTGTGTGTGTGTGTGTGTGTGGGGGGGGGGGAGGGAGAGGGCGGGGGCGGGGCATGCGACTTATCTTGATGTAAAGGATGAGTTTTGACATGATTTCTCGTGTCACTTGCGCTATCCCAAAGTATGACCTAAAGTCCGAGGCTTGCTTTCGAAGATGCCCGCAAAGCTCTTGCAGCCCATGGAAGTGAGCGCCTACGCCAACGTGCTTCACACGTACAAGGCCGATCTAAAGCCAAACCCGAAGATCCTACCCAAGGGCTCCATGTACCTTTATAGTAGATACTTAGGCCTTAAAGGGGTCCCTATATAGGTACTTTAAGGCCTAAGTATATACTATATGGGTACATGGAGCCTTAGGGCTATAAAGCCTCACATACCGTAGAAACCCCTCCTATAGATGCCTTATAGACCCCTTTAAAGGAACACTTATCTGCTTATTAAAGCCCTTATATCAAAGGGGAAAAGGAGGGACCCTTAATGGGGACCCCCACCCCATAATGGGCTATATAATGGGTATATAATAGCTCTATTAAGGGTATATACCTAGTAGTCGATTAGGTAACCTTTAACCTTTTTTGGGTAGTGTAGTCCCTATATGATCCCTATATAACCAAAAAGGTTAACCTTTAGTTCCCCATGATACCCGACAAGTAGGTATAACGCCCTCACATAGAAGCCTGAATAATGTCAGACGCTACTCTGTAGGGCTCCTTGTCACAACTCTGCCCGGATCATTTGATTTGGGTCCTTCAAGGAAGTGTTTTGAAGGATTTGTGGATGAACGTCCGTTTCCCTACACACGCGTCCGAATATATATGGTCACGCGCTCCGCGGCCCCCCCCCCTCCCCCCCCAAAGGTCAATGGTCCGGATATAGAGTAGGACCCCCCCTCCCCTGTGATGTGGGGTGTGGGGTCCCTCTTCCCTCTGTGGGGTGGTTGTGGGGTTTTGGGGTTTAGGATTTAGCTTAAAGCTTTTGAGTGTTGGGCTTACGGTTACAAGGTATAACGCTTCGAGTCGACAAGGGCTTAGGGAGGAGTTGCGGTGTATGTTCTGCTTTAGGCTTAGAGCCTGCAGTTAGGTGGGGTTTAGGGTTGGGTGTAGGGTTTGAAGTACAAGTTAAGGTTACTCAAAACCGGGCACGCGCTGCGTTATAGGGTTTACGGCTTGCTTGCGAAGGGCTTGCGTGTGAGCCCTGGCCGCCAGCACCATCCCACCATCCAGTGGCAGCTCCAACGCCCCGACCCCTTTCCGCGCACGCCAGCCCCCCCCCCCCACCCCTAGCAGACCATACCATTGGGGGGGGGGGGGCTGGGAACGCCAGACGCCTGACCATATATGTCTACACTTGGTACTATTGCTTTAACTACATACTGCATATGGGTAGTTGGCTGAATTAGGGTCCTTTTGGGGTCCTTTTGAAAAGGGTTCGGTACTATATTGGGGACCTACAAAGGGACCTCAATTTAGAGAACTACCCATATAGCTACCTGGACCCTACTGAGCCTCGAAAGATCTGCGAGGCCCAGCGCCTCATTTTCCAGAGTGGCTGGCCGGTCCAGGTGGCCCTCAGCAAGGGCTGGCTGGAAAGCAGGTTCCTTCCGGATCTGCGCCTGACCCAGGCAGGGCATGAAGCGTTTCGCGCTTTTCTGTGAGTTTCAGAAGGCTTATGATTGCAAGGATGCCTTCAAGCAGCCGTGGGTTGCCAGCCTTCGCAGAGGGTTGACTACGAAACAATCACAAGCCCCGGGCAGCAAAAAGAAGGCAGACGCCACACAGAAGCCCCTAAAGCCTAAACCCTGGCCGCTGGGCCCCTAAGCCCTGAACCCTCGGCACGACATGAAGTAATTTGCATCTGCATGTAGTGCCAAGAAACCTCGAGCAAAATCCCTATTCAGGGATCCATCGTAAGAATCAGAGCCCCCGTATCAAAATTATATCCTAAACCCTAAACCGAAACCTTTAGCCATAAACCCCAAGCCCTAACCCTAAGCCCTATATAAACCTCAAGCCTGAAACCCTAAACCCTAAACCCAAACCTTAAACCCCATAAACCCTAATCCTTCATTATCTGCCATACAGGAAGATCTGACGGAGATAGTCCAGCGTCTTGATCTCCAGGAGGCCCCGCGTACCGTTTCCTCCGAGGTCGGTTTCAGGGAGGAGAGTTACCCTAGGGCTCTAAGGACTCATATATTAAGGTTATTGGGCCCAAAGACTATATAAGGCTTCTGGGGCCGGTTTCGGGTATGAGAGGTAGAGGTGTATAGGTTCGTAGGTTTTTCGACATTAAAAAGTATGAGAGTTAGAGGTTTATAGGTTTAGTGGAGGTATATAGTTTTATAGGTGTTTTAACGCTAAAAAGTATGAGAGTTAGATAGACTTAGAGGTTTATTGGTTCATAGGTTGTTAACGTTAAAAGTATGAGAGGTAGAGGTTTATGGGTCCATAGGTTTTCTTCACGTGAAAAATATGAGAGTTTTATGTTCATGGGCTTATAGGTTTGTTAACTGTAAAACATATGAGAGGTAGATAGAGTTGGAGGTTTATAGGTTCGTAGGTTTCTATCGTTAAACTATATGAGAGTTAGAGGTTTATAGGTCCATAAGTTTCTCTTCAACAACGTTCAAGAGTTTGCCTGAGCTTTTCTATGGGGGATTTCTGCTAGCATGCGAGCATTCTTGCTTTTTCGGGTTGGGATGCACCAGTGATGCATTTCGAGGGACAATCTCGCGAGAGAGACCTCGACTTTTTCGGAAACTCTTGTATGTACACACTGAAAGTACAAATGCTATCCTGAACAGGGGTAAGTATGTGTGTGTGTATATATATATATACATACACATGTATGTGTGTATGTATGCCTATATATATATATATATACATATGCAGACAAATACGGAGGTATATGGACCCTTTCGGTCGAGGCTGTCATTCACGACAGTGTCCTACTGTACGCCGTGTCCGGTCGGGGGCTTTTTCAGCGTTCAGGTTAAGTGCATGGTGCCATGTTATGTGGCAAAAAACTGGTGTTGCCACAAAACGAGGCCTGACTATAAGCATCGGTTAAGCAAAGAAGCCCTTGGCACAATACCCGCAGTACCCACAACCCTAAACACGAAGGACAGCTGCGACACTCAGCTGATCCCTGGGACGCTGCACTGCGCCCTCGCGTTGTTTAAGAAATCCGAAGCTTGAGTGAGTTTTGGCTGGACACAAATACTAGGGTAAACACCAGGTCTTGAAGCCAGAGAAACCAGCACCCCCCAAGTACCCTTTAATAGAGCCCTTGTGGTCCTTAATAGTGGTACTTAGGGTAGTGGGGGGAGTGCTGGAATCAAGAAAACCACACCCTAGGGCTCCAGTAATAGTAGGTTACTAGCAACATTATATGTACCCGAGTAACCTACTATTTAGGTAACTGGAGCCCTACTTGGACGTTCAGGGGTAGTTATAAGTATGGGTATAAGTCCCCTAAGATGGGTTATAAGTATAGTTACCCTACTTATCACCGTTTAACTGCCCATGAACCTCCAAGTAGGGAAAGCTCAGTTGCCAGCCTTTGCTACGTTGGTGCGCGGCTCGAATCTGTGGCTCTGCACTTCACAAGGCTGCTCCCAGGCACTCACTGCGGCGCATAAGGGTTTAGGGTGTAATATCATAGGCCACAGGAGTTCAAGATGTTTAGGGTGATTCTAGTCTATACCCCTAAACCCTAAACCCTAAACCTATATGAAAAGGGGATTTGGGATGTTTAGGGTCTTTTCATATGACCTGTCGTCTCCATTGCAGTTCCGTTTCTTGGTTACCAGCTTTTATGGTTAGGATCCTATAAGAAAACAGGAAGTACAATGGATACTGTCAGTATAGGCTATAGGGTCTCCAAGCATACGGTTAGCTCCGACAGCCCTGGTTTTCATGTTACAGAAGCGGTCACAGGATCTGGCGCAGTGCTGCGGCTGGTTCGGCTAAACTTTCGGAGCCCCAACACTTCACCTACAGAGAACTTTCGATGCCCCTGCCCATTTAATGCGTTCAGTGGGTATCTCACTGACTGGATACTACGTGATGTGCTCTAATGACTCTAATGCACGACAACAGCCCGTAGAGCTTCCCTCTTAGCGCCGTACAGCACTGCATGGAATCTGAATAATCAAGCCTTCATGCATGTTTTAGCTACTCTCGGAGTACTATTCCTTCCAAACTCGTAACAATGGCATACCCCCAAACCGTATTCTATGATGAAGGCTCCTAGGTCAGGACTTCAAAACACCTGAGTGAGGCAGTTGAAGCCCTACTCCCCAACCCCAAGCTTAAAGCTCTAGCTCGTGCACACCCTAAGCCCTCCAGCGATTTCTAACCCCCTAAATCTGCAAAATCCTAACACCCGAAGTCGGCAGGGGTGACCCTGCCCATTCGGGCAAGCTTTTCGGCTCCTCTTTGCTCGGTGCTGCTGCTGGGTCCCAGCAGCTGCGGCAAGACGACAGCCTTGCGGGATGCAGCGCGACTTGGAGGCATAACCCTAAACTCGAACACCCCAAACCCTGAGCCCCCAAGAGGGGTGCCCCCAAACCTGAAACCCTAAACTCAAAAACCCCAAATCCCTACGAAGGCTGCCTGGGAGTCGAACTCCGAGGGCTAATGTAGAGCCCCCAACTACCCACTGGTACAGGTGGAATACCCTCTGTTGAGAATTGAATGATACAGGCTCCATAAGAGGGATTGCTGGGTTCTTGTTCAGGAACTGACATCAAGTTTCCATACTGGAGATCTATAGCAAATAATATGGTTTCTGTATTCTGGTAAGTTAAATTAAAGCAAATTCCTTAACAAGAACCCAGATTAGTGTTTCGGCTTTGGTCCTGCATGTTTTCCTGGAACCTGATTAGAATTAATGGAAGTATAGTATAACCCAAAACCCGATTCTCAGTAATAAGGCCCCTATATTAGGGTTTCGTGGGGTGACAGGGCGGAAAAGGCAGAGCCGAACACGAAGCTTTGGGATCAAGTTGCCTGGAGGCAGTACAGGTAATGCTTGGAATCTCTTGAAGCCCTGGTCCGGTCCACTGAGTAATATAGGGGCCTAAATAATTAGCTGCAGCTATACTATTTCGGGGTTCCTTATTATACCTTCCGAGAGCGTTATTTTAATTGTAGTATAATGGGCCCCCAAAGCCCTATTCTAGTTATTAAGGCCCCTATATTAAGACGCTTGACGTGACAGCACTTGAGGCTTCAGGGGGCTTCTACATACGCCTGAATATCCTAGATGCCATTGAATCATTGCTCACATGTCAACTGATAAAGCCCGGCCTCGCACTGACGACTGATGCTAACACCACAGAACTGCCACAAAGGTCGGAAATGCTAGTCAGTGGTGGCATGCCTGAGGGTGTCCTGATAATCCTTAAAGTTCCCTGGATACTTAAAGAAACGAAAAGATCGTATGATGTACCCCAAAGCCATCATTATTCATCTTTGCCGTCATCATCGTCATCACCATCACCGTCGTTGTCGTCGGCGTCGTCGCCACCACCACCACCACCATCATCGTAGTCATCGACACCGACATCGTCATCATCATCGTCATCATCGGTGCCATCCCTACCTCATGACCACTGCTCGCATTGTCTTCCCATCACAAATGAGTCCAGGGCGGCTCTCTGCGAGAGCGCGCAGGCGCTCTCGAAATCTCGGATTTGGGGCTTTGGAGCTCTGCTTGGAGGTTCAGGTATAGTTATCAGTAGGGATTATAAGTCCCCTAGTATGGGTTATAAGTATAGTTACCCTACTTATAACCCTACTTATAACTACCCCTGAACCTCCAAGTGGGGCCGCAAGCGACGCTGGTTTAAGGGGTGCGCGTTTTCAGCGTTTTCAGCTTTGCTGCATGGTCTGGGAGAGCGAAGGGTTTCTGATTTGGTGGGCCCTTGTGTCCCCGGCCCGGACCCTGCAGTTTAGCTGCTACTGCTCTCAGCGCTATCTTGCGGAAAACACAGCTTGATAAAGCCGATCGATTCAAAGACAAACTTTAAAACCCTGATAATCGTAGCCCAACTTTTCAGAGGAAATAGTGATCATCGAGAAAAAACCCCTAACCCCAAGCCCCCGAAGGTAGTGGTCCCAAACCCTGAACCCTAAACCCTAAACCTGAGGTATTCCGACTGTAGTAGGGAGGAAAAGAAAAAAATCTAAACCTGAAGGTAGTGATCATTGACTTCTTGGCAGAGCTCAGTGCCTGGAGCTTCTGTCGAGCTCGAACCGTCCTGCCCGAGGAGCTCCCTCCCTGGGGCTTCAATACCTTAACCTACCAAACCCTACCTTTTTGTAGGTTCTTGTTATAAGCCCTAATATGGAATTTATAGGGACCCTACTTCTTTGTAGGTTTTGGTAGGTCAAGGTAGGCTTTACAGATAGTTCATTGTTTAGAAATGCTAAACCCTACACCGTGTATGATTGTCCTTTGGGGTCGCGGGAGGGATGAGGATGAAGGCTCCAGAGTTTAGGCTGCAGGTTAGAGTATGTAACGGTGTAGGTTTAGGGTTTTAGGGTTTAGGGTGTAGGGTTTGTCCCTTGCAGCATTGCACAATGGAGGTGCCTTGATCCATGAGTAGAGGCTTCCTGGCACTTTCAACGCCTGTGATCCCGACCGTAACCCCAAATCCCAAGCCGTGAAGGGCTTTGGGGAGTGGCGGAGCGGGTTCCGGGGTGGACTTCGTGGTGTAGCTGTAGTTTGGACAGGTCTACGGGAATATAGCGGCCTTAATAATTAGAATAGGGTTTTGGACAGCCATAAGGTTCCCCCAAAATAGTATTGGTAATTATTTAGGCCCCATTAGTGGTTTTACAAGATATGATTTTGGTGACTTCGGGCTTCAAGTTGATTACAAGGCTGCTTAGGGTAATAGGTGACATGGAGGTATGGTTAAAGTTCGGTACGGTTGCCTGAACTTTGGCCACTTGCTAAATGCCCCTATCCTATGAACCCCAATGCCCAATCTGTTGCAGACAACCTGTAAACGAACTGCCTTTCTCGAGGCTCAAGGTTTGAAAAGCTGACTGCCTAGCCGAGCTTACAGAACCGCGTTTTCGACACGCCCTTCGAAGAAGTCGGTTGTGGTGAGCTGGGAGTTTCCGAAAATAGGGGACCCTAAATAGTAGGATCCTAATTGTTAGGACCCCCAAAATAAGGTACCCCAAATTGTCGGAATCTCCAAACCTTAAACCCTTTATAGAGCCTTCATAGATGCCTTTAAAGTACCCTTATAGATCCCTTTAAAGGTACCCCCCAATTTTCGGAGACCCCCAGCTATGGTAAACCCGGACCCTCCCAAAACGGAGCCAGGAACCGGCAGATCCCTTGGCGTCCGTCCGGAGTGTGATCCAAAACGAGCGCCCTGAGGCCTCTCTTTTTGATGAGGTCTTAAGGTCTACAGAAGGGGACGCCGTGGACGCTTGTTTCTTCCTTGTCGGTTGTGTTCCCAGCCGGTGCCCTGACTTAATGACTTAATTTTTGTAAGTCACATTAAGTCAGGGAACCGGCTGGATCCAAGATCCAAGATTGCAGGAAAAAGTTTCTTGGATCCATCTTGGATACAGCCGGGGCCCTGACTTAATGACTTAATTTTTTTAAGTCATTAAGTCGGGCCCCGCCCGGATCCAAGATGGATCCAAGAAACTTTTGTCTGCAATCTTGGATCTTGGATCCAGCCGGGGCCCTGACTTAATGACTTAATTTTTTTTTTAAGTCATTAAGTCAGGGAACCGGCTGGATCCAAGATCCAAGATTGCAGGAAAAAGTTTCTTGGATCCATCTTGGATCCAGCCAGGACCCTGACTTAATGACTTAATTTTTTTAAGTCATTAAGTCGGGGCCCTCCCAGATCCAAGATGGATCCAAGAAACTTTTGTCTGCAATCTTGGATCTTGGATCCAGCCGGGGCCCTGACTTAATGACTTAAGTTTTTTAAGTCATTAAGTCGGGGCCCTCCCGGATCCAAGATCCAAGATTGCAGGAAAAAGTTTCTTGGATCCATCTTGGATCCAGCCAGGACCCTGACTTAATGACTTAATTTTTTAACTCATTAAGTCGGGGCCCTCCCAGATCCAAGATGGATTCAAGAAACTTCTTTCTGCAATTTTTGGATCTTGGATCCAGCCGGGGCCCCGACTTAACGACTTAAGTTTCTTAAGTGTTTAAGTCGGGGCCCCGGCTGGATCCAAGATCCAAGATTGCAGAAAGATGTTTTTTGGATCCATCTTGGAGCGGGGGCCCCGATTTAAACACTTAAGTTTTTCCAAATCTTGAAATCGGGGCGCGTGGCTCTCGGAGCGGGTCCAAGAATTTTTGTTTCTGCAATGTTGGGTCTCGGACCCAGGGGGCCCAGCATTGCGTCTGTCTGCCACATAACGGAAACCTCAATGGAATTCCACCTTTCCACATGTGCTGCGTCCAAAGCCACAGAGCTTTGCACATGTGGAGATGTGGAATTCCATGGGGCTTTCCATATTTCCAAACCTGTTGACCTTAATTCTGCAGAGCTCAGGTTCATAGGGCTCCCAATAATTATGTACTATAGTCTATCCCACCAAACCAGACTACAGGTGTGCCGCTGATATACTATAGTAGCCATTTGTTTTTACACCATTGCGACTATGCAGCACTGTAACGTCCAAGGTTATCCTATATTGCGTTGGTGCTAGACTGCTAGACTAGGCTATGTTTGAATGTAGTAAGTTGCACTACCATATACCAAGCCCCTTTGTGCTATGCTGGATTGCACGATACTAATACCGCATTGCATTGCATAGCAGTCGACACAGTACCACTCAATATTTGATAGTTAATCGTCATCTATGCTCGAGTTTACTGTACTGGGTTTGCCCGTATTGAAAGGTACTACATTGCACTTTGCTATACTAGACTGCATTACACCATACTAGATTATGGCGTCAATGCTTATCTTTAATACATTGTACTATGCTACGCTCTAATAACCTAAATTGAAACATTGTATATCATATCATATGCATAGCCGATACAAGCAATTGAAGGCCCTTCGATTAGTCCAGTGAAAGAAGATTAGCCTAATGGGAAGTCGAACTCGTGATTTTACTCAGTTTACTCATCGTATACGTTGACATAACACACACACACTAACAAAGAAAGCACAGCCTCAATTCGTACTTGCGATATACCCCGCCATTTTGGCACCGAGAGTACTGCGAGCAGATACCCTGTGGTGTCGACCCCGAGCCTTGTAAGTGGATATGTGGTGTGCATGGTACCACATTCTTCGGTTCATGCACGCAAATCGCTCTTTCTATGACCTATGCTCGTGCTTTATATAGTGAACTAGAACTGACGGCAGAATAGTACACTAGGCTCCTGACTATAATTCGCTGTACTATGCTAGCGCACTATACCTTGCTCTATCATGCTATGCTCTACTATACCCTCCTAAAATAGTAAACATAGTAAACAGGGCCATGCAACAGTGTATTTTCCTACACCATGCTGCGGTAGTGCTATACTAGACTATCGTATCCCATATAGTGTATGCTATACCACACTGCAATATAGCGTCAACACTACAATATGCTATCGTGCACTTTACTGCCAGTGTCATATCACAACATATTGTAATACACTAGACTAGAACATAAGGCTGATCTCTGTCTTCTACCTTCGACCTACAGTATTCATATTCAACAGGTTCGTATGATATCAGACTACCATAATCTGTATCTATAGCACAGTATACAGCTGTTCTGTATCATGCTATAATTACTACACATACATGATGAACTAGACTGTATGTCGCAATACTGCACTACCATATTACGGGGCACCATGCCATATTATATCTTACGCTCCAGTATACGGGCACCATGCCATATTATATCTTACGCTCTACTATGCTATACCCTACTTTTGTATGCACATGCGAAAAGTACCACACTGCCACGCCTGGTGCCTCATAAGTTATATTAAAGCCCGGCCGGATCCTGGTCAGAGGTTTTTGGGTAAGCTTAACATTGGTTCATGAGAAGCTTCATGAGGAGCAAGCAGGCCATAAGATAGAATCTACCGAGAATACATCGTAATTCGCGTTGTTTCATATGGCGTCTATCTATAAAGAGCCTTGGACCAAGGTAATATACGGATAGGAAACTACATGAAGGTGGGTCTTCGAAGGGGTGACCATGGCTGCTTCTGGATGGGTGTTGCTCATTTTTATGTTTTCGACTGCTTGATGTTGTGATCCGGTGTGGAACAAACAAGCGTCCACAGCGTCCTCCTCCCCAGGTCTAATGTGGGGGCCTTAATAGTTAGACTAGGGTTTCGGGGGCTCCCTATTATTACAATAAACCCTATTCTAATTATTAAGGCCCCTACATTACGGTCAAGGAACGATTGTTTTCGCTGGAGGGGAAGGTCAAGAGCTCTTCTCCAGGATTTGTGCGTTGCTCGTATCGCATTCGTTTTAGGGTTCTTTTCAACGACGTGCCTGAACAGAGTCCGAAACACTGAATAGCAGTTTGATTCTTAGCATCAGGTCCGCTTCGGCTTAGCAGGTAAGGCTTCTAGAATCCTAGAACGCCGCCAAGCGCGACCGTCCAGCGGGGCTCAGGGTTGAGGCTCGCTGCTTTTATAACGAATTGAAGTCTAGCATTCGTGGCAGGTTCTGATCGCGGAGTTTGTGGATGGGGATGCTTGCATCCAAAGTGCGCAGCTGTGCATCCTGGCAGGAACTTGCAGGACAGGTATCAATGACAAACTGAGCTTCAGAGTTGTAAGTCTTCGGGTTCGCGTTTCAAACTGGATGCCTTAGAATGCCATGTGGCTTTAGAGCCACGGTCTGTGCAAGAGACAGATGCTTCGCACATCATAGCATGGGATCCTCCGCCTATACCCCAAACGCCATATTGGACCCAGCCTCAGGGGTGCATTGAGAGTACACTCCGTTAGATCCTTTTTGGGGGGATACACGTGATGCAGACCCTACTCCATGCTTATATGAACCCTCAGCCCGAATCCCCAAGACTTGATCCCATGTGCTAGACTCAGAGCTAAATCAAATATTCACGAAGCATCCGCAAAAAACAAGTAAGCTAGATCCCGAAAGGTCTATCGTCCTACATGATGGTATACAATATGCATTGGCCTTAGAGTTACTAGTCTAGGAACAGAACCGTTCTTAAGGCTCCAGTGTATCCTGTACAAACCGTTTTACCCTAAACCCCTAAACCCCTGAACCCTAAACCCCTAAACCCTAACCCCTTAAAAAAAAAAACTAAACCCTAAACCACACCACCCCCCCCCACCGGGATCCTTCGACCAGCTGAGGTTTCGAGGCGGGTGTGCGCCTTGTGGCGTCCTTGCGGAATTCCATTGGGGGCCTCACCGACTCCTTCCTCCGCCACTCAGCTGTCTGGGAATTTCCGAAAATTAGGGGTACCGTATTTTGGGATCCTTATAATAAGGATCCTAGTATTTAGGGTACTATATTCGGTTCCTCCATTTTCTGAATCTCCTATCTGTAGACTAGAGGTAGGGGAGGGTTTCAATTTGAGAGTTTAGGGTTGATTGTGGTCGGGCTTTGGGGCTATGACCCTGTATTTGTCGTTTTGGGGTTCGGATGTTGCAATGCTAAAGGATTTTAGCATAACTTAGCTCGGGCACTTGAACTTCAGCCTTCTTCAGCCTTGGAGTTGCGAACTCTTGGGCGTTTGAGTTGGTCTGCGTTGCGCGTTGAGGTCTTTGGGTGTTGCCTCTATACACGTATTACCCATCCCCAGGTGGGCTCTGCAGAATGGGGTCATTACAAATAGTGCTCAACGACTCCACTACGAAGGGTCCCTATGACTAACGCGATTAAACCATCACAGATCGCCTTCATGTTCCATACATGCATGTTCCGAACACACGGGCCCTGCACAACGGTTGAAGCACATATGGGTGGTGGTCAAGATTATGGTCCTGTTTTCAGAACCCTGAATATTAGGTCGATAAGCTGCTGCATTATGTTAAGGACCGAAGATGGGACCATGATTTTGACAGTTCCCCATATGGTTAATATGAAACCCTGACCAGGTTGCGACAATGGACTCCCCGGCTGCTTTGCGTTTCCCTTTGCCACCGTGGTGCTTCTGAGACGGCAGCTGGATGCCTGGCACATCTTCTCGCCGGCGGGACATGCTGTATGCTCCTTGGACAATTTAGTTTGGGGGCTTCAATAATCCAGGCAATTTTCAGGGCTCCTTACTATGATTTATGTAAAACTGTGCTCCCTGGAGGGTTTGGGATGGTGTTTGTTTACAGGGAAACCCATTTGGGGGGCAATGCCAAGAGTTGCAGACTATGACAAGATGCAGATGGCGCCTCCCTTGGCCCCGTGCACTCTCTCGGCCTCACGTCTTGAACCCAGAAAGCCTGCATCCAAGCATCATTCTAGGGTGGAAGGTAGGTGTGGCTGCGAGTGCATTTGGGACTTCACCCGAAGCCCTCCCTCCCACTGCAGAAAAAGCAGAAACACAACGAATCTCCATGCAGATACTATTTTGGGGGTTCCTTAATATAAGTGTCATTTGGGTTGTTTTCTGCAGGTGGTCAGTGTAACAAAATGTAACACGAAATCCGAGTATAAACGTACAGAGCCATTCCTGGCCACCAAAACCATGTTAGCATTATCTGAGCCGCAAGAACCGATGCACTCAAGTCCACGCAAACCGATAGACCTCATTCTGCACACTTACTCCCAAGCATATGATACTATCCTCAGCACCTACCCATCGGCTCCATAGTAGTTCGGTTATGGGATTACCTTATAGGACCCTAAATATGAACCCCAAAAATGAGCCACCATGGAGCCTATGGGTAAATACCAAAGCACCTAAATGGGAGTTTCTGAAAACAGGGGACCCTAATATGGTACCCTAAATTGTAGGATCCGTATTTATAAAGACCCCAGAATAAGGTGCCCCAAATTTTCGGAAACTCCAAACCCTTATAGAGCCCTTTAAAGGAACCCTTCTAGTGCCCTTATCGGAACCCTTGTTACAAAAAATACCCTTCTTTGTAACACCCAAGATCCCAAAGAGGTGCCATGGCTTCTGGGCGGAGGATGCCCTGCGCCCTTCACCACATCCCCAACTTCCCGGCTCTGCGCCCGACTGCGATATTCACGCTGTGCTTCGACGAAGTCGGAAGGTATGTAATCTCTATATGTATATATATATATATGTATATATAGATATAGACATATATATATACATATATATATACATATACATATATATATATACATATATATATATAGGGTTTAGGGAGTTTAGGTCATGGTATGCAGACCCCGAAGGCTCTTGATGTATCCTTTCTTGTGTAGTCCACATGGTTCTTTCTTGGTTTGTCGTCCCTTCAAGGTTGTTGCTGGCTTTTGAAAGAAGCCATTCCAAGCTCCAACTCCACTGATTTTGAACATTGCAGTGTCAAGACCCTCAACCCTAAATCCCGGGAGGTCGGTCGTAGTGAGGAGTTGCAGGCTATTCTGGAATCCTGACGTGGGCTATAAACCCTACATGAAGGTTCATGAGTAGATATAAGTAGGGTTATATGTAGGGTAACTATACTTAGAACCCATGTTAGGGGGCTTATAACCCTACTTATAGCTACCCCTGAACCTACAAGTAGGGAGACTTATGCCCCGTACGTAGAGCTGTGGGAGATCCCCGGGTAACCCTCCCGAAAACCTCTCCTTTTCGGTCGCACAGCAGCCCGCAAGTTCCTATTCGCGAAAGTTGCGTATCATTTGGGTACGGCCCCCACTCAGTAATAGTTGAATAATACTCATAGTAGAGATATTTTTGGACCTTAATAGTAGCCCTATTATAGACTCTTACTGTATGGGGGGGGCAGTACCTAGTGTATCATTCTCTTGCAACCCCAAGCTCTTGAGCCCAAGGGATTCAGATTCAGCATAATAGAGGGGCCGAAATAACTACCACTACTATTCTGCAGGTTCCTTGTTATAGTTATAGTGTAATGTGCCCCAAAACCTTACTCTAATCATAAGGGCCCCTGTATTGCGGGGTTAAAGTTTGGGATATAGGGTTCAGGCTTTCGATCTCATTCGAGGCATATTCCTCACAGAACTTCATTCAGAGAAGATAGGGGCAGAAGTTTAAAGGCCGGTCTCAAGCTTAAGATCAAACAAGGGTTTAGGTTGGGATAATATTCATAATATAGGTATATTAGGACCTTAATGGTAGCCCTGTTACAGACTGTTATTGTACGGGGGCAGTACCCAAGGTTTAGGGTTTGGGGCAGCAGTTGATGGTGACTTCGGGCTGGGTGTCACGCATTCGGTTTCTCGTAGCACAGGGTCTGCGACCAAGGAAGACCCTAAACCAGAAGCCCTAAACCCCCTAAGCCTTACCTTCACCTGGAATAACCTACCTTTGCCAGGACTTATATAAGGAAATCATAATAAGGAAGCTTAAAAAGGTGGGTTCTTCAGGGTTAAGGTAGGCCCTGAACCCAAAACCCTACCACTCAGGAAGACCTTGGTCGTCGAAGAAGAGATGAATTGAGAGTGATCCGACCATTTCACTTTCCAATGTACAGGAGCTTCAGACAAATAGAAGACCCCAAAATAGAACCCGAATTGCGACCCAGGTTCTAAAGGCAGAAGGTAATAAAGTGCGCTGAAACTCGCATATTACTAAACCGCTATTCACCTAGGTTCTGAGGGGATGCTACGAAACTAACGGAGTGCCAAGGTGTGCACAGTACTGAAGCAGGGTGTCGGGCTTATAGTGGTTTAGGCATCCTTGAGAAAAGGGGCACGGGATGAAGCTCTGGCTTACAATAGAACTCGACATATTGGTTACAATAGTAATCATGATAATAACTATATGGAAGTTTGCAGAAATCCGGGGTACCTTTTTTTTGGGTTTCTTATAACAAGGGTCTTAGTATATAAGGTGCTAGATCAGGGTCCCCTCTTTTCGAAAACTCCCATATCTCGCGCCCAGAGCAGCGAGTCTGCCCTAAAGTCCTAAAGCCCACGAGAACAAAGCTTTCCCTCAGACGCTTCTGTCGATCTTGGGCTTTCTGTTGCCCTGGTTTCGGTGTTTGGGGTTTAGAGTTTAGGATTTAGGGTTTAGGATTTAGGCTTAAGCGTGTAGGGTGTAGGGTTTAGGGTTTGGGGTTTCTTGTGGATGGCGGCATTGTCTTGCCAAGCCGCTGCCAAAACGGAGAGCTGAGGATACAGGGTACCCAGAGAGCCCAATACCCCATAATTAAGCAATATACCTTAAATTTTAAGGGGCTTCATATTCTGATTTAAGCTATATTCCTTGATTAAGGGGTATTGGGCTCTCTGGGTACAAACAACACAGCGTGTGGTCCTGAGGTTCCGAAGTGCCTAGCAGTAGAGCCATGCGCTTGTGCAACACATGTGCGTTGATGTTCACGCTTTGCAGCGGCGTTTCAGAATGCTTCAGATTGCATAATGGCTGGAGGTGAGGTGAGTCCTCAACCCTATGCCAGCCACTTTCAAAGGGGAAAAGGAGGTATCCTTAATGGGGACCCCTACCCTATAATGGGCTATATAATGGGTATATAATGGCTATGTTAAGGGTATATACCTAGGGGTCCTTATTAAGGGTCCCTCCTTTTACCCTTGGACACTTGTAAAATTACCAGCTGGAAGGCCCGCGCTGGGAAAACGTATCATGCAGTTGCAGTTGCTGAGAGGGCGAGCCATGAGCTCGCCACCCATATAAATCCAAAAAGCACCATCAGGACATTAAGCGTTGATGGCGATCTGCGAGTTGCAGAAGACAGTGAAAAGCCGTAGCAGGAGCATGCATGCTTGATTTGAGGACCCGTCGAAGGGCGCCATTTTCGAAGAAATCCTATCCTCTTGTATCGCTAAGCCCGTATTCGGGAGGGGTGTCATTTCCTATCGGGAAAGAGCACTTGCATCCTCAAGTTCCTCAGCAATAGCCGAACATAGGCAAGGTGTACCCTGACTGGATCTGGGGTAGGATGCAGGCTCTGGTTGCTGTCAGAAACCAGTTTTAGACGGGGAGCGTTGTTTATCTATGCTTCTAAGCACTTAACCCTCAGAGCATCATTTGGTCAGCTGTTGGGAGGCCGCAGTTTGCGATGAAAAGCAAGGCCAGAGTTGCCAAGATCCTAACACTCTGTACATATCCTGAATCAGTAACGTTTTAGGGGTTTGGGGGTTTATAGGGTTTAGGGTTTAGGGCGTTTTGCAAACCTTGCAAACAACAGCAGTGAAGGCCTGAACTATAAGGAAGTCTACGGACTTAGGTGAGTCTGAGTCCTGAACTCTCAAGAACTGGATAGGAAGTTCCTTCGCAGCTCGAGCTTCCTCGTGTCCTTGGCTCAAGCATCGCACTTGCGCTGACATCCCTTGCGCACCGCGCCGTGATGAAGCTAAGCTGCAGTGTTTCAGTGCACCTCCATGCGCAGGTAATCGCGATAGCTTTAAAAGGCCAGTGCAGACTGCTTGCTGTTGTTCTCAACAACTCCCTTTTCCGTTAAAGCCTAGAAGCAGTTTGTCATGCTGTTCCTCTCTCTGCTGTAGTTTCGAGGAATTCCCTTTTCAATTCAATGTGTTGTTAAGCCATTGGACAAATTTCCGGCAAGCCGGGCTTGAACACCTCCAGGTTAAGAACGAATGCGGTGAAACTGCGAGTTCTGTCGTTGGTTCGGTCATGTATGTGCGCGTGTATAGAGGTGCATGCACTGTTGACTGTCTGTGTGTGTCCACATACGTGCATGCCTGTACAAACAGGTTCGGATGCCCATACATAGGTCAGGTGTGTGTGTATATATAGTAAATGGAAAGTGTTTTTGGAAACAAAATCACACGCACACACAAGAAGCCCCACTCCCACTCTTACGAACCATGAAACCCTAAACCTCATACGTTGCTCCTGGAAAGGAGCGAGGTGGATCCGTCTCCTCGGGTGAGTTAGGCACACGTTCTCGCCCAAAGCTCTGATGGATGATTCTTTACGGACCTTAATTAAGGAGTATTCCCTAAATTATAATAGGATCCCTAATATGATTTAAGGAATATTCTTGTCACTCTGCAACCCTCACGAAGTCCGGAACCTAAGCCGACCCGTTTGGATTCAGGCAGCCCTAAGCTTACCATCTTGAATCCAACATCCCAAAGCACTCTTGGAGTTCATGGCCATACTGTTGATGATATAGATCCTGCATTACCTTAAAGACCCTAAGCTATGGAAATTATGGTATATTCATGATTACGGGTAATGCAGGGTTCATATCATCAACAGTATCCCCAGCCCACAGATCTAGGAAGGGCTTTGGGGCATTTTGGATTTTGCCTTATTGGGCTTATATAAGAGGATCTTATTTGCTCATATTTTCAAAGGCTTTAAAAGCCCCATCTAGTAGATTCCCAAGCCTGAACCTGAAACACGCAAGAACCCAAAATTTTCGACCTTCAGCCACTTTTGCTCGTGCTAGCGGCGCGGTGCCTTTCGCAGTTTGCTCACTACTTGCCTGCTTTTGGTGGGATGCAGCTCTTCACGTGGATGTTTGCCTTGTTTGCCCTTGTCATCAACGGCGTGGCTGCCCACCGCATCAGCACGCACTCCATCGACACGAGCGGAAGCTTTGTCATGAAGGAGGAACGCAGGGGTTTCGAGTACAGGGCAGTGTCTTACCACAAGCTGTCAGCCTCCCGTCTTGTGCAGATTGTAAGCTTACGGTATCTGTCCCTCCCCCTGAGCCCTTCATCACCCCTAAACAGGCTTCGGCCATCAAGGAAAAGGACTCGACCATCAATCAGCAGGCTTCGAGACTCGAGCGATTGAGGCAACCTGGCCATTTTGTGTGGAACATCTCAGGTGAAGACTTCTCAAAGATGACCTATAGCAATTATGTGGACAGTCCCAAGTTCGCGCTTTTGCATGACGGCGGGTTTTGGTTGCGTTATTATCCCAAAGGACAGTTCTGGAGCTTCGATGGGTGGGCATCCGTCTACTTGATGCACGACACGGAGTGCAGTTTGTACGGGAGTATGACAGCGGACTCCGTTTCAACCACAATCGGAGGGCTCTCAACATCATGGGGCCGGAAAAGATTTTTACTGACGCCGAAGCTCCACGGAATCAGTGTGAACCTCACGAAGTCGCATTGCGAGGTTGCAGGATAACATCAAGACGTGAGCAGTAGAAAGGATCATTGCTGTGCTTCGTTGGTTGCCGTGCGTCGGTGGCTGTGCAGTTGCTGGCACATATAGGGCCCCAAAAAAGCACATAAGAAAAAAATTAGGATAGGCACATCCCATATAAACCCCCGAATAATGAAGCCCAATAAGGTAGGGATATCCCTATAACATGCTTATGCTTATGTGCTTTTGGGGGTCCCTAACATAAGCAGACTCCAGGGAAGACGGAAGCCTTCTCCTGGGCCCTCAACCCCAGTATCTTAACCCAACACAAAGACCCAAAAAATGAGAATTTCCTTGCGGGTCCCAAGTATGATTTGAGGTACATTCCTCAAGTCAGGGATTTTGGAAGTTTTGGGTAATTCGCGCCGGCTTCAACCGATTAAAGTAAACCCCATAAAGTTGGGAACCGGCCTCGGATCAGATCACGAAGCCTTCGCGCTTGTAGGCTCTTGGCTCAGAATGTTTGAGTTGACTCAAAACGGTTCTGAACTGAGGTTCAGGTTAGGAACCCGATGTTTGAGAAGAAAGCTGCTCTGCTACGAAGTTTGTCGCTCTTACACCCAATCTGTTGCAAGAAGCCAGACACCTTGAATCCTGACCGGTAAGGCCATCAACACAAGAAGCCTAAACTGTCTAAACCGCGTGGCCCCTACAAAGACCCTTACAAAGCCAAAGCCCGAATCCTTAAAACCTAAACTCCCAAAGCTTTAGAGCCACTCGCCCAGGCGGCAGATGGCCGATGCCTTTGGGCCTTGAGCGTTCGGCCTGGTTCCGGCGTCGGAAGCACATGGGATGGCGGCCAAGCCCATGTACCTTGACGTGCCTCACTATGGGTTTAGGTTTTGGGGTTGCATGAGTTTGTCAACACCTTGAAGGATGCTTGTGAACTGCACGGTGAGTGTGGTGCGTTTGCCTGAGTGTTCACGAGTGGCTCCCATGCTTCGTGGTCTCATGCTTGTGTAGAACAACGAGCACATCACCGTGTGATCAAAGCGCCTGATTGCGGACAAGTCGCAGTCAATATCCCATCTTATTACTTGTGCTCCGCTGACCCCGACCACGGAGGCTCATGTTCTAGAAAAAGGCTTCTCCGAAGTTTCAAGCTCAGGTTTGTGTCAGATGGGCGACGGAGGTTATGAGCTTCAGTTGGGATGCAGACCGGAGACTCCGATCTCGCTTAACAAGCATACACTCAGTTTAGAGTCTCTGAGTCGTAATAAAGCCCCTTGGCCTGTCCCTTAGATCGCCAATAGGTCCCTACACCCCAAACCCTAAACCCTACCTAAACCCTAAACCCTAAAATGAGCCTCTAAGGTCAATTAGGGCCCCATGCTGCTTGAATCCCTAAATGAAGCCTCACATGGGTCACCCTTGTGCTAAATGACACCGAAACAGGAACCCTATTTCAAAGGCTGGGCGTGTGCATGTTTGTGTGTGTGAGGTAACTCAGCATTCTTTTCGAGTATGTTCGATTAAAATGGGTTGTATGCACATCCACTTAGCCCCTGAGCCACACCGTGCAGGTTTGGAACCCAAGGCGCTAAGACACGAAGTATAGGGGCCTTGCTGTTTCGACCAGGTCGTTGGGGTAATCTTATACTACAACTACAGATCTACAAGGGAATGCCATTGCTGGAGTTTCCGAAAATTACGGGTACCCTATAGGAATTCCTTTAAAGGGTTACTAGAAGGGTACTATAAGGGTTCCTTCAAAAAGGGCTCTATAAGGGTTTATGGTTTCGGGGTACCTTATTTTGGGGTCCTTATATTACGGTAAAACGGTCGGTCCCCTATTTTCGGAAACTCCCAGGTGGCCCTTGTCTCGGGCTGGCTGGCAAGCGGGGTCCTTCCCGATGTGCGCCTGACGCAGGCCGGGCGATTAACATAGGGGCCTAAATGATGAACTATAGGATTATGTTTTTTTTTTTTTTGGGGGGGGGGGGGTCCTTATTGTAAGTATGGCATAATGGGCCCAAAACCATATTCTAGTTTTGAAAACGGCCCCTGCATTAGAGTGTTTCTGGTTCCTAAAGCCCACCTGGACCCGTAGAAACCTACAACTCCAGGGCTCCTTATTGTGACTTCTTTGAAGGGGTCCTTAAAGGGCAGGCTTTTGGTGCATGCATACATACGTACATGCATACACATGTATGTGTCTATATATATATATATACATATATATATATATATATGTACGTACACAGAATTCTATCAGCATGTGCAGCTCCCACATCATTGAACTGTGCACAGAACACCCTCCATCCTAAAGCCCTGAAGTATTCTGATGCATCGTCAGTCTGCATCCCTAACCGTAGGTCCCCAAACCGAAGAACAAACTCAAAACCTTACTTGAAGGCCCTGTTCACTTAGTAAGTCTACTTAGTATCCCTTAGAAACCGTATTATAATCCCCATAACCCACCTTACTAACCCTACTTACTAAGTCAAAAGGGCCTCCAAGTATTCTCCCATCCAGAAGCCAGAAACCTGCCCGACCCCCAAACCCGGAACCCCGACCCTCCCTGACCCCAACACCCCGGAGCCTGAGCCCTCTAGAACCCTGTAACCGCGGTATATGAGCCTTGCAAAAACCCTACCACCACCATAATGTTTAAGAACCCAAAAGAACCCTACACAACTCCAAAAAAACCCTGTCAAAAACTCAAAAGACGCAGGAAGATCTGGATGAGCTGGTGCAGTGTTTGGGTCTCCAGGCTCGTCCTCGACACCGTCTCGTCAGCACTCGCTTCAAGTTGTAGTGGGTTCTATTTCAGGGTTCCTTTAAGGTGATGTAGGCCTTCAGGGGTTGTGGTTCAGGGGCTGCAGAGTTTCAGGCTAGTTTTGTACTTGAACTATGTTGCTTGTATTTTAAGGATAGAGGGGTGTGGGGTATAGGGTTTTTGAGGCCGGTTGAAGGTATGATGCCTTTATGGATCTATGATTTTTGGCTAAAGGTACTGAAGGGGTTTAGGGCTTAGGCTTTGCGTCCCATGCCGGGGCTTCATGGGGTTTTGTGGGTGTACGGTCTGGCTTAGGGACTTTCGCGTTCAGGGGTTTGTGGGTTTACGGTCCCTCTGTCGTATAAAGTTCCGTTATACGGTTTATATGGTGTGTTACAGGCATAGGGCACAGGGTTTGAGGGATACAAGGCTGCAGTGCTTCGGGGTCTCAGTACTAAGATCCCTCTGTAGTCCAAGGTTCGCCTATACGGTTTAGGGGGGGTGTTAGGGTTTTAGGGCTATGGGGCTGTAGCAGTGCAGGAAGCTGCTTGCCTTCATTAAGGTCCTTCACACAGCTCCAAAGATTTTGGGGCTATTGCTGTAGAGGGTTGCCAAACCAGGCTGTTGCATTAGGGTCAATGCACATTGTAGCATTTAGGTTGGACTCCACGACAGTTTCGAGAAGAAGTGAAGTACAATAGGACCAAGAGCATGGCTTGATAACCCTGTTGCTCATGTCTTTGATGCCCGGCATACTACTGCTTCATGTGACCCCCAGGTCCGTAGTCTGTGGTCCAGTTTTTGGGTCGAGGCTTCGTACCAGACGGCAAGCAGGCGAGTAACGACATTACTTGACATGTTGCCTGGCTCGCGGCTTTCTTCTGACCCGCAAACAACCACCAGCTCATCAGTAAAGGGAAAGTCACTTGAATGCATATTTGCAGTCATCATTGTAGCCGTGGTTCGAACACCGAAAGCCTCAAACCCTTGGCACTTTCCCATCCTGTCATTAGGTCAGACGCCCTCAACTTCAAGGCTTGTCCCACAAAGCCAAAGCCGAAAGCATCCCGAAGCCCCTGAAGGACAGCCACGGTACCCAGATGATCTCTGGGACGCTGCACCGTGCCTTCACCTGCTTAAGACTGAACTTTTGAAGCGTTCTTTTCTGACGTCTGCTCAGACAGAAGTAAGTTGAAGCTCTTGACACCGGCCCCGACTTCCAGACTTGCTTCCCGAAGCCCGAAGCCCAAACGCCAAACCCTTCCGGAACATTTGCAAAAGCCCGGTCATGACCAGAACATACTAGAACCCTACGATGATTCCAAGAGTCATATACTGCCCGGAAGCCTAAACCCTCAGCCCATCTAAGCCTAATCTGAACTCTGGCCCTAGACCCAAACCCTAAACCCAAACCCTGAACAAAACCTAACCCTATTCCCTAGCTAACCCTAGGTGGCAGCCTTTGCTACGCGGATACACGGCTCGACTCCTGTGTTTTACATCTCACGCGGCTGTTGCCAGGCTCCCGCGACTGTTGAATACTGTATCGGGGCCTTTATATCCAGAATAGGGGTTGCTTTAAGACTTTAAGGGTTCCTGAACGGCTTCTGTAAGAATTTCGATAAGGGTCCATAGCAAGAGAGCCTCAATGACTGTTGAATATAGGATCCTTCATGCTAACAACAGTGTTCATTAACAAGTTGTTTGAGGCTTTCGTTAATTGGTTCCACCAAACTGGGTGCATCATTAAGTTTGGAATAGCGTTTTGAGGTATATTATATAGTATTAGTTACAACCACTTTAAGAAATCATGTTGGCAGGTGAGGAAGCTCCTGAACACTCCAATACCAAACCTTAAACCCGAAAGAACCGTCCTGTCCTAAGGCGCGGCCTCTACCCTTTATACAGCCAGAATACCTTCCAAAGCCCCAAAGCACCAAACCCCATCTAGCGCGGCATTTGTGACCCTTATACCCTAAAAGCCAGAACCGCAGCTCCCGAACCTCAAAGGGCCCTATACTCGGAAGATGAAGTGGGGTACTTTTGGAGCCTTATTCACTAACTTATGCTACGTTGGGGGGTTGCATATTGTATAAACTGTAGTATAATATGCCCCACAGCTTCAACGGCCCCCAAATACATGAGCTTGAGATGGGCAGATATTATAGAACCCATGTAGTGACCCTTGTTATAGTTCCTGGTCCCTTAAACGCAACACTATCCCAACGGTTAAGGCCCCTACGTGAGGTGTGACCCAGCCAAC